GTTGTAAAAAGAAGGTTGAGAATTTGTTTATATATGTTTGCTCATCGTTTCTTAAATTTAATGATTCACACGCTCAATTATACCAGACATAAAAATTTTGCCTCCGTCGGAGTATTATTATTGTTGTGTTGCGAAGCCAAGCAAATATTAAATGAAAAAAATATGTCGCCTGCTGCGATGACGCTTGAAAGCGCCGGCCATATCGTGAAGTGCGTGTCGTCATAAAAAAAGAGCGGATGGCGAGCAAATGTTTAACTTTTTAATTAGGCAAAGCTGCAAGACAAAGTGACATCAGCTCGAAAGCAGCTCGCGGCTCGGAAAAAAATACAAGCTCTCCGAAATGCATATAAAAGAGCAAGAGCGTTTGTTGCCCTTCTCGCGCCTTATCTCGGCCGAGCGTTCCGGCTGCGGGCGCACTCAAAAATGAAGTGTTCACCAAAAAGAATTTTTCGTTTCAAAATGGGTTTTGTACACTTGAAAAATGGTCGGTAGGAGATATTAATGGCACGACGTTAAAATTACATGCTGCCCTCCAGAAAAATGTCACAACACTTGGTGATTAATTTTGAATGGCTGACAAAAAATTACATTTCCTAACCAAAAGCCACCGAAAGCTATTATATCTTTTAAATTACCTATCCAATGATTTAAAAGAGTAATTTTTAGACTTCATTTTTAATTACAAATCTTAATCAAAAAAGCTATAATGATAATGTCAAATTATTTTTAAACTTACAATTTTTATAATTTTAATAATAAATTAAATTTAAAAAATTATAATTATATCACATAATATGCATCATATTTTTAATTTTATTTTTTCAATTTTGCTATTTGTTTTTTATTATTATTTTTTTTAAATCATAAAATTTTTTGATATTTTTTATGATAAAGTTTTATAGAAAAAACTTTTCTCATGCTTTTGAAAATAACTCAATTTTCTAATTCATCTTCATGATTAGAAAATTTTAAAAGATTGATAACCGTCGATTTATTCATTTGGTTCATTGCAGATGGTTATTAACAGTTTGCCATCTATTGGCTTTGCCTCTCCTCTATTTTATTTGTGTGCACTATTTACAAGCGCATGCACGGCTGGCGGAAAATAGAAATCAATCAATCGCATCACAAACACTTTGCTCACTGTGAAATTAATTGCGACAACTTCACTTGTCATTGAGCAATTTCACCGCCATGCGCGTACAAGAAGTGTGCCCTGCTGCTGTGCGATTAGAAAACGGTCATTTTCCTTAATGAGCCAACAAATGGCGTGTAATTTGAAACACGATATACAACAAAATTATTGATATTGTACTCTCAATGAAACTCCTTCTGTATGGAAAACACCAAGCATTTCATGTTTGCATGAAAAATATGTTAATAAATTAAAAATTGTAATATTTTTGTACTTAATAAAATATTTGCCATTTTCACAAACAAAATATACAATTAAATTAGTAATTTTTCACTAAAGTCTAAAGCTTGACCGTTTCAAGTGGTTTCTTTGGGTTTAAAATTCTCTAAACAAGAAATAACAATGTAAAAATTTAAATAAATTATGGAAATATTATTTATGCAGCACTCTGAATTTAAAAGTAAAATATTTAACTCCAATACAAAAATTCAAATTTCAGCCTTTATGACGTTTCTAATCCTTTTTAGCGGGATGCATGTCAAGAACACAAGACATCGAAAACCTCGCACGTAGAACAGCAGCCGCAGCTCTCACGTTCACTCTTTCTTTTTTTACAATGCGCCTTTGGTGTGTACCCAGGAGAATTGTATGTTATATGCATGTACGTGCCCTTCAAGGGAGTTTGCCAACAGACTACCATTTAAGACGCACAGGAAGTTCGTTTTATCATGTGTGCAGTGTTATTTTATTGTGATTAAGCTGCCTGGGCTGCTCGGGGAATTATGCCGAGCATCGTGGCGTGTTCGAATGCACTCGAGTGCACCCGCTAATTATCCCCGCGCTACCCAACAATGCACGGCAACGGAAAGCCCGGATGGATTCGCCATGCTTTTTGCACCGAAAATGAGATTTTGTGTAGCAAGTGTGCGAATAGGCGTAGGGGACAAAAAAGGTGAAAAAAAGGAGAGAGGCAAAAGTCATCGAACTATAATATGCATGAGAAATTCAGTATATAATTCATCCTAAAAGTTTCTGATTTTCTTATCACAAAAAAGTTTCAAGCTCAATAGAGTTGATTAATTTTTGCTGATTAGTCCAGAAATTAATTTTCAAGTTTAATTCTCCCTAATTAATTATCATTATCAGATACAAATTAATAGAAATTTTTCTCACAGAATGAATTTATGTAACTTAAAAATTAAAATCTGAAATTTAGAACGAATTTGATTTTCCTTGCGGTTTAAATATAGAAATAAATAAGATGATGAATGCAGTTTAAAAATAAACCTCAATTAGTGTCTGTTTTAAAACTCTGAATTATGTTGTGTATATAAATTTCGAGCCCATCAACACAATTCTAAAAATATTAGTCGAGGTCACGCGATGGTAATTACCGCCTGATTTGTACCTCTGTCGGCTTTAATATATAAAAATTTCCACCCAAACGAAGGCTTCGAGGGTCTGCCCTGAACCGAAGCACATCGGCCGTGATAAATTTATTGTGTCACTCTGATGGAAGCAGTGTGTCAGCAGTGTGGGCCGCAATCATCGCGCACGTAACATATATTTTATACTGCACCACAGCTTCATATAGGTGGATTGTTATTATTCAAGAAGGAAGCCTGCCCGAGATAAAAACTTGCTCGTAGGCGGGTCTCGCTTTTTCCAGCGTTGATCTCATCAAGTGCCCACCTTACGTTTTATGAAATTATATACAAACTCGCCGGCACTTTTCGCCTGTAACCAGAAACCAAAAAGTCTGTGAAGAGAAAAAAATTTTGAAGCTGTTTTAAATTTTAACTTTTTTTAAATTACAATAATAATTTTTGTTTCGTTTAAAAAAAAATAGTGTTGTCTTTTTAGGTTTATTTAATTCTGTTTAAAGATTTTTGCGTTGATACGTTATTATTTATTATTTCCCACAAAAGGTGTGCGTTTCACGTGAAGAGGCCTGTCCAGGCGCGAGTTTTCCGCCACATTCCATTTCTTTTCTTCTTCCTAGTGGCACGCACGAAAATAAATAAAAGCTTTCTTTCATTCCATCTCGCAGCGGGAGTGAAAAGCAGCTTTATGAAAATTATACAGCCGCTGCCCGCCGCCGCACAATGGACAGAGTCAGCGCGCTCTGCAGCTGGAGAAAAGCATCTTGCAGACGACCTTCACCCTCCCCGAGGGGGTGGTTTATTATATCCATTCAGCTGGTCCCTGTCTGCATAGCCAGCCAGCTCCACTATAGTATTATTGGAGCAGGTGGTGGCTTTAATTGTCTTTAATTTGCGCAGACTGATTATTTTATTGCTGGGGTGACTTGACTGGAGTCTGCGTACCGAGGGGTGGCTTTTCAATTGCTCGCAAATGAGGATTTATTCGACGCCTGCTGCGGCATATTTTATTATTTGTGTTGCTGGAGAGATTTTATCGGCACGTGTGCCAGCGGTAGATCCAAATGGTTGATATAGATTCAGCAGAATAAATTGAAAAAGCTAATAATTTGTGTGAAAAGACCAGAAGATTTTCCCAAAATTTTATGATACCATCTAAGCAATCAGATCTGGTGAAAATTTACAAATTTTTTTGAAATTTATTGTATTGACTGTAAAAAGATGAGTTTTACGTGGATAATTATAAAAATTATTCACTCGAGGTTCCGACTCTAATTTAAATGGGTTTAATTTTAAATTTATATTGCAAGTTGTAAATCACAACCAATAAATTTCACATTTGGCGAGAAATTTTACAATAATTATGAAAAAATTCCTAATTTCTAATTTGATAGTTTTTTATTGACACGTTTGATTTTTAAAGACTTTAATATTCTTTTTTTTTACCAATGTCTGATTTTGCTATATCACTTTTTACTTTGGCGTGAAATTTGAGGATTTTAGTGAAATAGCCCTGTGGCAGCTGTGATTATTATTCCGACTCGTATTATTTAGTGCACGAGTCAAAAACAACATTTCCACATCAAATGTTTAGAGTAAGAACCGCTCACTTCAAACGCATTTTTTTTTGGCGTGCTGGAAGCTCACGTATTTTTCGCATATTTCACTGCGGGCCAGCCGGCAGCAACTATTCTACTATAGCCTTCAAGGTTGTGGCGGATTTTCAGCAGCCACGCACGTACAGCTGAGACGCGTATCAATTTCGAAACAGGAACTAAATTAAGCTTTTTGACTGCAAATTTGAAACAAGAAATTTAATAAATAATAAAAAATCAACACATCAAAAAGTGTCAGTATTCATTTAACTTTTAAATATTACAACAAAACAGTTTTAATTAAAAATATTAAATTTATTCAACTAATTCCTTTATCACGAATCATACTTTTTTATTGTTTGCTTTTTTTTATTGCCCAATCCCATCTGCGTTATGTATTATTATATTATTTCTCTTTCGTATATATTTTTTCCTCGGCGCGCGGCATTCTGCCGTCTTCATCCCGGAGGTCAACAAGTTGTAATTCCATGCATAAATTATTTTTATTTTCACAACGCACCTCATCGCCGGCGGATTGGCCAAGCAATATATTCATAGATGGGTGGCTTGTAAGCGCGAATCTGGCTATATTTGGACGCGGTTTCTCATTTTGCCGGCGCTGCATGACTGCTGATGTTGCTGAATGAAAATGAGTCGGTGACACTTTGACACGAGAGGTGCACTTCCAATTAGTACACAAGGCCGGTTGACAGATCGATCTGAATGAAAATTGATTCAAGGACTTCCGCGCCGCATCGCTAATTGAAAAACACAAGTATCCTGTCCTCAGATTCATTGAAGTATATTTTTGAAAGAGGAAAATTTCCGTTTTTTATACAAAAATAAGGCAGAAGTTCATAATTTTTATAAGCTTCCTATAACTAATACATGTCAAGTGACATTCGAAAGCACAATGAGCTGGAGTTGTTCCTACCTGATAAGATAAAGGTCATCCGTGGTATCGGTCGGAAAACGTGCGGTGCCAGTTTCGCCGGTTCCATTCCAAATCAATGAATGACATCGAAAGTCCGAGGTTGTGGGAGCAACGCAGAAACTCGGAAGGAAAATTGCACCCCCGCGTTCGACTTTCTTTTCTGTTATCAACGGCGGCGACAGCGATAATAATGTAGTGCGTGCACGTTATATACGCGGAGTGGATGTAGTCCTGCCTCCTGCTTTTCACAACTGAAAACATACACTGAAGGATGAAGTTGAAGTGCGCGAGGAGGAACCAGGCTCGCAGCAGTTCGGCCGCCGCACCGACAGCGCCACCTCGAAACGCGCTCGTCCAACTAGGCCGTTGCTTTTTTAGCATAAGGCCCCGAGCGACATCTACGGCCGCAACTGGCTTAATTTTATAATCTCTTATCTCTATATGTCTGCAAAAATTAAAAAAATAAATTGTATAAAAATTTAGTTAAAAATTTGACGAAAAACTAATTCTTACAAGATTTTAGAAAAAATAAAATCAATTAGATGTTATAAATTTTCTTAGAGGCTGTTGCCATGACAACTAGAAATTTATTGAACAATTTTATTACCTCTTCTCTATTCAATAACTAAACGAGGATTTTTTAAATAGGTGGTAATTTATAATAATGGTAATTTTAAAATTAAATTTTTTATTATTTTATTAATGCAAGCTTTTTAGGGTCCAAAGAAGAAGAAAAAGCTGACTAAAGAGGAAAAAGCAAAGCTACGAGCTGAAGAGCTAGAGCGGATTCACCGGGAGGAAGAATTTGAAAGGTCGGCATTCAAAGATGAATTCGTTGAATCTATTTTGATGAATTTTGAAATGTTTCAGAGAACGACTTGCGAAAGAAGCGGCGGAGGCGTTGGAAGCCGCCAGGCAGAAAGCGGAGGATGATGCGAAAAGAGAAGTCCAGGAGCAAATTTGGCGAATGGAGCAGTTGGAGCACACCGAAGAAATTGTGTCCACATTGCTCGCTGAAGTGTCAGAAGCCGAAATGCAGGAGCGACAGGAGAAGCAGGTGCTTTTAAACCCTTTTAAATGTTATTGCCAAAAATTTATACTTTCGAGATATCCTTTTTTGCCGTGGAATGTTTTGCGCTTATTACCGCTCCCTGCTCTTTTTGGTGTAACTCAATAAAATAAAACGCGCCGACTCTTAATTAATGTTGCAATTAAGTGGGAGCAATACATGAAGTGCGATGGCCTACCTGACCCTGCCTCACCTCCTGGCATGCACACCTACCTCCATTTGTGGAGATCAGAGCCGAGTGCCCGTCGCAATATCGAGCCGGTCGTGGAGAAAACGGCAGAAGTACTTCAAGTGAGCATTAAACACTGGTATTACAAAGTAAATGAATAAATTATTAGAAGGAAGACAAAATATGTCTAAAGAAAAAGTTAATCGGTTGAAGATAAAAATAAATATAATTATATTTTTTAAATTAATTATTAATTTAATATTTAAATATTTCTATATTAAAATTTTTCCAGCAAAAATATAATTTTTTAAAACCCTCCTAAAAATTTTAGCTCCTTTTCGATTTGGATGAATTAATCGAAACTGACTCTGGTGGGAAGTTGCAACCGTTATGGAGGGAAGTGCGTCAAAAAGTGCGAAACGAGCAGCAACTGCGTCTGGACGAGGCCACCTACGGCCTCCTGAGGGCCGCTTCCACAATGGTGGCCTCCGTCGACTCGACCCTCGTGCGGTACCATCGAGACGCCAGCCCCTTCCTCACCCTGACGCTGCACACAGATCTGGCAGCCCCTTTGTCAGACGCGCCTCCTCCAACTTGGAACTTCGAAGAGTTGGGGGTGTCCATGCAAATGCCGCCGCAGTTCGTTGGCCTCCACGCCGCAGCCCGGGCACTGTGGTTACGCTACGACCACTACACCGACCTTTGCCCCTCGAGGATTGCACCTCCTCCTCCAGATCACCATCAATTGGGTTCAAAACAAATTTCTCATCAATTAGAATTTTTTTAAAAAATTAAAAATATAATACAAGTATAAAAAATTTGCCGCAAGTTTCCTTTTTTTAAATTAAAATAAGCTTTGCTTCTAACCTAAATGTTTGTGGAATTTCTCTCATTATGATTTTCTATTATATAAAATTTAATATATTTAATTTAATCTTTAAGAAATATCAAATAATTTAATTTTAATAATTGTTCAAATTACTTTAAAAAAATTCCGGACCTCTTCCCCAGTTGAAAAAAGCCATCTTTTAAAATTAAAATATTACGAATAATTATAAAAAAGTTATTATTATAATAACAGTCATGGCACAGGTAACAAGTAACACAGGTTGCATACTAACAGAGAACTATAATTGATTCGTTATTTCTTTATTACACACGAATGATGATCAATCATATACATCATAATATACTTTTTGCGGATTATAATTTAATCTCTTTTCACTTTCCATTTCAGATATGAAAAGTGTTGCCCTTCAATTGTGGCAACAGAGGCTGGAGGAGAAAGAGCAAGAGGCAGAGGAGCAGGCAAACTTGGCAGCCGCAGTCGCCGCAGAGGAAGAAAAAAGGTTGCTTTTGGAGGCTGAAACCGCCAAAAATAGAGAGCTAGGCCCACCTTCCGCACATCAAGATGCTCCTCCGGGCGAAAATAAAGTGCTCGAGGAAGGAGATGAAATTCAGGGTGAGGATGAAGTGTGCAAAGAAGCTGAAGGAGAAGACGGAGAGGAGAAAGAGGAGCCTCCAGTCAGAGATGAAGAAGGTGGATTTTGAAAATTTTAATAAGATGAACTTGAATTTATTTTGATTTAGCCGAGCGGCAAAAGGCAGAAACCGAGGCCATGATTAAAGAAACTCAACCCCACGAGTTGAATTTGCGAAAAATGGCAGTGCTCGGTGGGGTTTTGCACTTGGACTTGCTTGAGCAGCCTCCACAGCCTAGAGAGTTGAATAAAAACCTTTCACTCACTGTGCGTAAGTAAAATTTAAGCACTTGTTATATAATTAGGAATTAATTTTTCATATCTCTTAAAAACGTGCAGATAAAAATTTGACAAGGTTTTTTATGACAAAAACCAAGAGACATTGTTGAAGATAAGTGTCATGGTGAAAGTCCAACTTTTGAAATGGCAAAATTGTCTATCATCTTTTTTACTTTTGCTAATAGACAAACCACACGTCAATAGTTTTGAGCAATCTTATCAAAAAAGAAAAAAAAATTAAGAAAACAACAGAAACTGGACTGGATTGCTTTCCAAGGTGTCTGAATTTCATCGGATGATAATTTTTTTGTTGGCGTTGATTTTTTTTTCATTTTGATGCTAAGCGAGAGATAAGATAATTTCTGTGGCACGCACAATATGCGCAAATAATCAATCTCCGTTCTGTGGTCAAGGAGGAGCATGTTGTAGCCCACTGTGACACAATGGAGCGCGATGAAAAGGTGACTTTTGCCGCAGATAAGATCTGTGTCGATTTGCGTTGCTCTGAGCTACTTGAGTCGCGCACGAAAGCCAATCACTTTGTGAAAAGTGCTCGGAGAGTAGCACTTTATATCGCCACGAGATAACAATGAAAACAGCACTTTGGCCGAGCACCGGGCGCCCCAGCAGCCCAAGTCACTCCGAGCCGCTCGCTTAGATAAGCTATGCGAAAATTCGCCGCTGGTTTTATTGCGTGTTTTGTGTTCAACGCCGTTTGCTGTGCCGCCGACTTACCACAATGCAAGGTCCTGGACGTCAAGGCGATCGGCACCATCTTCTCGAACGCGGGGCATATCCTGCAAAGTCACACCGCCGAAATGCCCAGCGTGCCGTGTCCTGCGAACCAGACCATCGTCGGCGTTTCTGGCTGCTCCTACTGCACCCTGACTGAGATAATAGCCTGTCTGGGGTCGTCGGTGACCTCCCTGCCGTCGCCCAGCGAGCTGCCAGCGATCGTTTCGGCGCTGCACGTGTCCGCGTCACTAATTCAGATTATTTACAAGAGAGCGTTTTACGGCAAGTACATTGGCGAAATCCACATCGAGGAAAATCACCTCGCTCTGATCAACCAGGACGCCTTCGAAGGGGTGGAAGGCGTGCGCTACTTGAGCCTGGCGAAAAACGGACTCTGCATCCTGATTCCGCAGATGTTCTATCACTTGAAGGAATTGCAAACTTTGATTTTGGACGATAACAATTTGGAGTTGAACGAAGGCTATTTTGAGGACCATAACATAATCAGCGAAAAGTATCTCACGAAATTGGAACGCATGAGTTTTCAAAATAACCCAATAAAGGTCCTTCCCAGCAACTCCTTCAAATGGTTAAAAAACAGCCAACTGTCTTATTTGTCGTTGAAAGGAACAAAAATCGTCTCAGTCCATCAAAGTATGATTTCTACCTGGTTAAAAAGTTTCCAGAGAGTTCTAACATTTTCTATTTTAATTTTCAGAGAGCTTTCAGTCAATTAAAAAGTCATTGAAGGAGCTTGAACTGGCCGATAGTGCGAACGTCGAGAATATTATTTACAATATTACAACTGGCCTAGAAGGAGGTGTAATTGAGTACCTGGGACTCAGCTCAACAGGGCTGATGCAAATTCCCAAAGATGCCCTGAATCTAGTTTCGCCGACGCTGTTAGGATTGGCCCTTCAGGGTAATACTTTTCACCGACTGGACAGCTCATCCTTTCCTCCACTTCCCTCATTGGTTACCTTGGACTTGCGAAGGTGCGCTATTTTGACGCTGGCAGACGGTGCTTTCAACGGCCTGAAATCGCTGACAAATCTATACCTGTCCGGAAACCGTTTGAAAATCATCTCCAAGCCGTTTAATGTTTTGAATAACTTGCAGTTTTTGGACCTCAGTAACAACCCCGATCCGATTCTTAGTACCGAGAGCGCCGTGTACAACATCCGAAAGGGCACATTTAAAGGGCTTGAAAAGCTGGAGGTGCTCAATTTGGCCCATTCCCGAGTGAAATTTATAGATAAAAACGTTTTTGAGGATACGCCAAACCTATCCACCCTCTCACTGTGCGACACCTACATAAACTTGGAAACTGAGTTTTTGCATTACTTGCCAAATTTGGTTCTTCTGGACCTCAGCAACAATGACAATTTTGATTTCAAGCCGGAGTTATTCAAGGGACTCTCTAAACTGCGGAGTTTGCGTCTCATTAACTGCGAAATTGAATCATTCGAGGAGGACGTTGACTATTTCGAACACATGACCAACCTGACTGAGCTCTACATGTCGCACAACAAAATTTCAATTATTCCCCGCACAATGTTCCGCTCTCTGCCGCATCTGCGGTCACTTTTTTTGGAAAACAATTTGATCGACTCTTGGACGACGGCAATTTTTGAAAACAATACCGAGCTGATTCAAATCTACATTGACAACAATCAAATTTGTTATTTGACTAACGAAACTACCTCTGAGCTTTTGAAAATGAGGCACATCTCCTTTGAGTACAACCCTCTCATTTGCGACTGCAACCTGCACAGTTTCATCCGACAACTCACAGACTCTGACATCAAAGTTAATCACTGGATGGAAAACTTAAATGGCTACACGTGCTACGACCCTAGCTTAAAATTGGACTTTCTTATTAACCGGCTGCCAGCTATGAATTGCTCCCGCACTTCTGCCCCCTCGGTGCCTGAAGATCAGATTGACAATTTAGTGGCAATCGTCAGCAGTGCCTCAGTGGGCGCAATTTGCATAGTTATAATGGCCACCTCCATCGTTCTTTATAAAAAACGCAAAAACTTGCGATTTTTCGGAATCATGGTGAAAAACGCCATATCAGTTGCGTTACAAGAAGATGACAAGGAAGATCAAGAGATCATTTACATTTACGACGTTTTTGTCTCCTATTGCGACTCTGACAGGGACTGGGTCATTCAGAAACTGCTGCCTTCTCTGGAGCGAGAAAACCAACTCAGGGTGTGTCTGCACGAAAGAGACTTCCAGCCCGGCTACGGAATTTTAGACAACATTGTCCACTGCATCGACAAAAGCCGCTCACTAATAATTGTCGTGTCAAAAAAGTCCCTGAAAAGTCAGTGGTGCCAATTTGAGATGCACCTGGCCCAGCACAGATTCATTGAGGCGCGGAAGGAGCAGCTCATTTTGGTGCTCATGGACGAGCTTCCGAGAAGCCAACGACCGAGGACTTTGCATTATCTGATGGCGACAAGGACATTCCTTTTGTGGGACGAGAAACAAAGTGATTTGTTTTGGAAGAGACTAAAGCGCGTGTTACTCATGGACAAAAGTAGGACAGTTTCAATCGTATGATATTTTTAATATAATGCGCAATCGGCGTAAATCCCCAAAGTGCCAGTCATCAAAGTATATTATTCACGTATATCTTGTGTATAGTTATCATAACATAATCGCAATCATTTAATTTTCCTGATGTACCAGGTGTTTTCATTTTTGATAAAAAGTACAAAATCAGTGCATATTAATAAAGATCATTTATCATTTTATAATCGCTTGTGATTTTATTTATCTCCTAACCGTAAAAAATGACTCGCATAATAAATAAATATATCAGGAAATTGAAAATTTTCCTACCTTAACTGCAGTGTCGGAGCCGCTATCTCTGCAAAAGGTCCACTATTACGTAATGTATGTCCCTCCGCCTCCACCTGAGCCGGGGAAGAAGCGCCTGCCAGAGGAGATTGAAGCTGAAATCAAACTACAGGAGCTAGAATTTGAGAAGATTGCACAAGTGCATATTAGGTAACAAAAGACTTATTAACAAAACAGAAATTGTGAAAATAAATTATAAAAAACGGCTCATTGAACTCTCATTAAAAAATCAACGAGCAATTTTAAGGAGATAAGATAATACAGATTTAATTATATTATTAAAAATGATATTCTCTTTAAAATTAATAAATTACAGCTTGCCAAATAGCGTCCTCTGGTTTGAGCCACCGATTGTGGTTGGCTGGGACGAGAAGAACCAGTATTGGAGCACGGAAGATCTGCACGACCTGAAATTTTTTGAGGAAAAACAACTTTTGTCTTTTCGCGCAGGCAGACTCGGGCCTTTGGCACTCGCCGCTTTCAAATACACAAATCTCCCTTACCAAACTTGGGAAATGAAACCTACGCCAAACGGAATCGTCCTCTCAATTACAGCCGCCGTCGTATTAGTTGAATTCAGTTTTAAAGTAAATTAAGAAGTATAAAATATAGAACAGAATCCTAAATTTTAATCTCAGGATGGGTTGGTTTGTCTCAGCCAGCTACAAAATGGTTCAACTGCCGCCCTTCAGGACCAAATCGGAATTTACTTTAAGCCCCAAAAGTTAATAAAAGTATTTTATTAATTAAATAAAAAAAAATCCAAATTATTATTTTTCTTTAAATCAGATCATGCGTCTCGGTGGCGTTGACGTTTTTCCACCTCACGATGCCCACTGCTACATGTCCGCGGTCGCTCCAAAACAGAGAACGCCTGAGCGCCACTTGTATCAGTGCATGGCTTTTGCCGCAAAGTCGCACTGCTTCGCCTGGAGCAGGTGGAATTTACTGGCTGGCATGTCCAAAATGGTCTTGCAGATGAAAGAGATCAACGTTGAAGATAAGAAAAAATCGGTAGTTGAAATTTATTTAAAAAAAATAGAATGAGAATTAATTTTCATAATTGTAGCAAGCTGAGTACGAAATGCTCTTGGTCACTAGTCAAAGGTCGAGCGTTGTTCAATGTACGGAAGTGAGTCAAAGTTTTAGTGATGAGCCTGCGCCAGGAATGAAGGTGATTATATGACTTTGTGTTATTTTCGAAAATTTATAAAATTTTGTAGTTTTATGCTGACGTTTTACATCTCCTTCTGGAGCATGGGTCTGCCACAGCAAAATCGCACTTGAAAAATCCCGAAGTGGCACTTGTCAACACCGTGTTCACAATTCTCGACGCAACAAAAGTTTTGAGTTTTTCTTAATAAAAAAATATTGCATTTTAAAAGACCGAATGAATAATTTTATACTTCAACATGAACTTATGCAACTGGAGATGTGTAGGTGCGCAAACGGTTGCATAAATTCTCCCCATGCAGGCGTCGAAAAATGGAATGATAAATAATCATCACTTTTCTTTGTTTTGATTCACCACAAACACAAAACTCGCGAGATAAACTAGGTTGTTCAAACAGAGAATGAAAGCAGTTTTCTTTTCATATGAATACATGAGTTTTAATCCTAATAAAAATATTCGTCAATGCTTCAAATGACGGCTGATTAAAACGCAGAAACAAGAAAATACCAGTATCAATGCATTTCACATGAAATAATTTACCCCTCCAACCACCTCTTCGTACAGCATTCCTTTTCCTTGTTGCTTTTTTTAAATGCACTCTATTGGAATTTTGACAAGAATCAACATGCAATTTTTTACATATTTTTTTACACATCGCACAAACTCCTCAGTGAGGACGAAAAATGGCAACTCTTAATAACAAAATTCGTTCATTCGCTCCCTTCTCCCGAAATTGGTAACCAACAATAACAGCATTTTTCAGCCTCCCTTTCATGCGCGCTCCCTCCTTAAGGTGGTGTGGAAAAAAATGCAAATGCAAGCTATTGTAACTAGATTCATTACAAATAATGACAATGAGCAGAGATAATAAAAAAAATATGAGAGTAATTACGTATATAACGCTAAAATGATTTTTAGTGGTTTTTGTCCTGAGTTGAGTTGAATTTCGAGCGAACTGCTCGTTTGGAGAAATGAAATTTTTTCCAGGTGTTTAGTTTATTTACCTAACAGGGATAATGATCCAAATTTAATTACCACCTCTTTACACTTTCTAAAAATTAAATCAAACAAACAAACTTGACATACGCAAAACGTACAATTCTATTTGTAAAAATAAAAATCTCGACCAACGCACACAATGTGAGAGGAACTAAATTTTAGCACTATGATACACTCAGTGGAACAACAAGATGGCACACGCCTGCTTTTAGCTGTTTGCATTCTTGAAGATGAGACAAGACAGTGGAGAGTATTCGCAGTCTTTGCACACAGCGGAATATTTAAAAGCTTGGAGGAGCCGCGAGTCTCGTTTGAAATTTTATAAATATTTAATTTATCGACTACCTGGCAGTGAATTTGATAATCATTCGGAAAAATTCTAACTCTTCTAATTAAATAGTTGAGGCCCCACGACTGGTCCAAAAGCAGAGTGTATTAAATCGAAGAAATGTGTATTTTTAATGAATAGCAGTTTTGCCTTGAAATTAATTGAGCTGTGGTTGTTATGAGCTTCGCGAGTCAGTGCCCAGATCGTTGCTGCGCGCGTCCGTGCTTGATTCCGAGTGACTCATTTCAGACGACGCACTACTAGACTGTCCCGACTGGTCCGAGTTGACCAGTTTTGGTTTGTACTCGGTGATAATCACAGTCACATTGTTCACTGTCACCTCGCGATGTTGCGCACTACTGCGATCCACATTCTTCAGTCTCGATCTGCAAATTGTTTATTGCTTTACGTTCTTGTTTTGACCGAGCATGTAAATAAGGGCCACACAAAACCAAAGAAAGGTAAATGAGCATTATGTATGATTTAACGCTGAGTATAGAACTGATTTTAAATTCATCAATCGTCATTCGCATGCATTTTTAACAAACGCAAATGGTTGTTTCTTTGATTAAGGCATATTTGGAGCAATTAAGAAACTTAAATCAAGTCTGAATTATCTTTAAAAATTGATTTCAAGCAGCTAAAATTTATAATAATAATAAAAGTATTTATAAATTTGAAAGTTATTCGCGGCCTATAATCTTTCAAAAACAATCTGATTGTAAATCTTTTAAATAAATTTTGTATCTTCTCGTTGCAATAGTTTCACAACAGACTGAAGTTACATAATAAAAATGTAAAATAAATTTTAGTAAAGAAAAACAAAAGTTGTACTCACAGGAGTTTACCCTTCTTGGAATATTTATCTGAAGTTTTCTTGTCTGACTTGCCACCTTCCTTTTTAATTTTTGGTGCTGCCGGTGTGAACTGTTGAGCCACTTGTTGTGCCACCAGCTGCGGATTTATTCTCGGCTTCCTATCAATTGATTCACAACCAATTAAACCTTTATCAAAAATTCAAAACAAAAGATGTTGGTACCTAGTGGAAGTTCCTTTCCTTATGTCGCACATCAGGCACTTGAATGCTTCGGCATTATTTCTGTACGTACAAACACTGCAATCCCAGTAGTTATCTTCCAGCACTTTCCGCTTTGTTCTTCTGAAAATTTTAAAAATTAATACTTCCTCTTGTTTTGCAACAAAATTTGATCAATTAAAAATAGAACTATCGCCACGGTGGCTTTTTTTATAGGAAGTAAAAAAAACAAACATTATTATTAAGAAATAATTATTTTCCATAAATAATCTCACTCTTCCAAACTGGTGGTCGGAATACTCGGAAAAAGCTTTCTGCCAATCAACTTCCTCATGATCTTATTGATTCGTTTCTTTTTTTTTTGCCTTTCCAGAGAAAAACAAACTTGTGTAAAATGGAAGTGCGATGCTGAGTTTTTATTGCGAGCAGGCGGCGTTTTTCAAAAAGCATGACGTGTGGACTTGACTTAAGAAAATTACGACTGAAACGTCACAGCGACAATATTCGTGGCGTTTTGATCCTACAGTCGGGCACGAAAACGCGGCCACGGCGTTTTGGGTGCATTATAGGAGAGGCCGTCAGTGGCGAAGCAGGTCTTTGAACTCGGCGTAGCGGTGTCTGCCCGATAATAAACACGCCAGACAAACGGCCCTTCAAGCGCCCCTAGGCACGTAAATCAACCCTTAAACGTACAAATCGCTTCCACTCACCTGTTGGGACTTTTCTTATGGTCCATATTCGAACCTAAGAGCGGTTTTGGGGAGAAAAAGAGGTGAAATTAACACGGCCATAGACGGTCGGTGGATGTAGCCTCCATATTGAATTTTTCGCGGCCGGTGAGAAACCGGTTCGAATTTCCTAGAAAACCGGTTGTGTCCCACTTTGAAACACATTGTAGAAGGCCTGAAACGGTTAAAATACCGAATCAAACCAGTTAAAAACCTTTCCCACAAATAAACCTCATGAAAATGTACTACGCGAAGCAAATCAGTGAAGGTCGTTTTCGCACATTCTTTTACTTTTTTAACACATTTTCTGATTTATCTAGACGGGTCGGTGTTTTAATTTAAAACTTGTAAATTTAATTACCTGAATTTGAAGATTAATTTTACTTTTTTAACGCTTTTCCTTCAGGAAAGACCGTGATTTGAAGTGGACTGCACGAAGTCAGCTGATGGAGGCCATCAATATTTACGTCATACTGCGTTGACACTAAACGTTTTATAATTTTTGGTCACCATTCTTCCTTTTATTTACCGAAGAGAAACCTACGCGGCCAAGAAGTCAAGCTCCCTCGCATTCAAGCCACACTCTCCTTTCAAACACACCTGTGCTCTCCTGATTGTAACGTTGGAGTTTACAAATATTTTGTCCAACATTACGAGGGGGACGAGGTGAGTTGGTCCTGCTTTGGTTCGCACTCACAAATGTGTATTAGAGGCGAGTTGTAAGGCACGACACGGCCGAGGACGCACCGTTCCTTCGCCAATCCCCAACCAAACGCACTTGCTTTGATTGAGGATCCGAAGTGATCAGAAGTGAAATGTTAGTAGTGCTCTTTGCTTAATTTTTATTCATATTTTTGCATCTCTCTATATTCACGTCCGACCATTTTGGTGTCTCGCTCGACTACGCTTTTCGCTGACCTCTTCCTCTTTTAGGCGCACTGCTGGCTCCCTGGACGATGGGGTGGACACCCTTGGAGGCGGGGGAGGATCTCCCAGAGCCAGGAGGACCTCCCCCGCAACTGCTCAGCAAAGGCTGCTCTCCCATCAGGGTGAGTTGAATAACCTTACGAGTGCAGTCCGATCTCTGCCGACCCATTGAGGGTCAAACAAAGTATGAAATTTAAAATAAAGTTTCTTCGCTGTTTTATTTGCTTATGCTTACCATGCAATTGATTTAGGTTTGAATTAAATGATTTATTCATGAGCATTAAATTAAAAAAATATTACAAACAATTTTTGAATCGTATCTTTTTATTTTCCAGAAAATTAATTCAAATATCGTAATTTTAAGTCAAAGAGTTGTTTCACTAGTTTCCTATGTAAAGATAAATAATTGATTTCCGTGACTCCTGAGAATCATTTCCCTTTTGATAAATGATGACTAAATCGTCAGCAGAACAAATATAAACAAGCGTGACTGTCATTGTTTATTTTTGAAAATCAAACATCGTTCGATTCAGCTCGGAAGCGCACAGTAATTCACTAGGCTCTTGCTGTTAGAATGTTAGTTTGAGCTGTCTTGATAATATATATTCTGTACTTTCAGGAGTTTTAGAAATGGCTGCCAGCGAAAGTGGTGTTGGATTTAGTGGACACACCTTGGACAAGGCGACCAAGGCAAAAGTGACCCTTGAAAATTATTACAGCAACCTGATTGCTCAACACATTGAAAGAAAGAAAAGGTTTGAACATTCAAAAGCTTTGATCAAATCAATAACAAGACGGGCATAATTAACTTTAAAAATTAATTGTTTTTATTGTACAGTTTTGATAAATTTAAAATAACAAATTATAAAAAAAAATTAAATAAACTATTTTTTAATCATTGCACCTCAGGTTAGCCAAACTTGAAGAATCGTTAAAAGATGATGCGCTCTCGGAACAACAGAGGCAAGAAAAGAGGCAGCAGCACGCCCAGAAAGAAACGGAATTCCTGCGTCTGAAGAGATCACGGTTGGGCGTCGAAGACTTTGAGGCGCTGAAGGTCATCGGCAGGGGTGCCTTTGGCGAGGTGCGGCTCGTGCAGAAAAAGGACACTGGCCATGTTTACGCAATGAAGATTTTACGGAAGGCAGACATGCTTGAAAAGGAGCAAGTGGCGCACGTCCGAGCCGAGAGAGATGTCCTGGTGGAAGCAGACCATCAGTGGGTTGTGAAAATGTACTACAGCTTTCAAGATCCGGTCAACTTGTACCTTATCATGGAATTCTTGCCGGGAGGTGAGTTTGAATGCTTTCATTATTCAAGTTTTTAATTTGAAACCCAATCTGGGGAAGAAACCATTTTGTTACTATTTATATTAAAAAGCTTACCAGCGTTTTCTTAGAAAGTTTTATCACACTTTCCTAGAGAAAATTAAAATTCAAACAACTGAAATGAGTCATAAGTCATAATTCATGAGTGAATCACTTCCTGTGCTGTCAAATTGAATTGATTGAATAGACAAATCCATAAATTTTTCCATTTTCCCATGAAAATATTATATCATAAAATGAAAAAAATGACCTTGATGCTGCTTGAATGAATCTTTAAGTGTGAAAGGAACAAGATAGAGCATGTTATTGTGTGATATTTGAGCAAATATTTGCGTTTGTCTTATCACTAGCAACAAACGGAAGCAAACCCTGCCAGTTCACACCTTGTAAAAGTTTTTTATTCGCTTTTACTTTCTCCTGATGTTTCTCACTAAAATTAAAATTATCATGATTGCCAGGTGACATGATGACCTTGCTAATGAAGAAAGACACCCTTTCGGAGGAGTGCACTCAATTTTACATTGCAGAGACTGCACTTGCTATCGACTCCATCCATAAGTTAGGCTTCATTCACAGGTAAGAATCTCTCCGTCGAATGAATATTCCTTTTTGATTAATTTTAAATTCTAGGGACATCAAACCTGACAACCTTTTGCTGGACGCCCGTGGTCACATTAAGTTATCCGATTTTGGATTGTGCACTGGCTTGAAAAAGTCTCACTGCACAGATTTCTACAGAGATCTGAGCCAAGCAAAGCCTTCCGATTTCAGTAAAAGAAAAATTATGGAAACTTGATTAGTCTTATAAATGTGTGCAAATTTTTAGATTTCCTTGGATCTGCAACCTCAAGTCCAATGGACAGTAAGCGGCGAGCGGAAAGTTGGAAGAAAAATAGACGTGCTTTGGCTTACTCAACAGTTGGAACCCCGGATTACATCGCACCTGAGGTTTTCCTCCAGACAGGTTACGGGCAGGCTTGTGATTGGTGGAGTCTGGGTGTCATCATGTATGAAATGCTTATCGGTAGGATGATGGAAAATTTTATATAAATTGCGAATCTAATGGGTGATATTTTTCCAGGGTACCCTCCTTTCTGCAGCGAAAACCCTCAAGAAACTTACCGTAAAGTGATGAATTGGAGGGACACACTTGTTTTCCCTCCGGAGGTACCTATCTCGGAAGAAGCCAAGGATACTATTTTACGATTTTGCTGTGAGGCTGAACGGCGACTGGGGTCGGTTCGAGGGGCTGAAGAATTGAAATCGGCGCCATTCTTCCGTGGGGTTGATTGGGAGCATATCAGAGAGCGTCCGGCGGCCATTGCTGTTGAGGTGCGCTCCATCGACGACACATCCAACTTCGATGACTTCCCCGACGTCAAGCTTGAAATCCGTATGTTCTTTCAAACATTGACTGTTTTATATAAAATTAATCATTTCAATTTTAGCTGCTGCTCCGACTATTCCAGAGGGTGAGGCTAACTACAAAGACTGGGTCTTCATCAACTACACTTTTAAGAGGTTCGAGGGACTCACGCAAAGAGGCACTCCAACGAAAAAATGACCCGCGGCCAACCCGGCCAGCGCCTCTCCTGCTTCTAGCTGCACTCACCCGTTGGCACAACCGCACGCTCCTATCTAAAAAATATTCGCGATTTTTCCGCGAACTGATTACTGCGGCCCGACCGCCTCTTCCACTGAAATGTGTTAGTCCTTGTCCGCTGTTAACTTAGTTTGCCATCCTGAACAAATAGCTTTTAATGTTTTTTAAACAGAAATTTCTTCCATATTTTCGGGCACAAGGCGTGGATATTTTTTTATTATTATTGTAATATTGATTTTGTTTCAACATCTGTGTAGAAAACTCGTTTTTATTTATTTCCTTAGTGCATGTATGATTTCATTTCCACGGCCTTGCTATCCGTTAAAATTGGATGTTCCCAAACAGAAACGAGGGTTTGCCCATCTATTGCCATTTTAGTACATAGAATCTGCTGATAAACTTAATCAAGCTGTAAGATTATCACTTTTAATCTCAGATTTGTTGGCTGATGCTACTTTTATAGAAGGAATCAAGAATCAAGTAATCAAATTTGCAAAAGAAAAAAATATATATTCTCGATTGCGTGTTTTGCAAGTGTGTGGGTTTTGTGACTAAAGAAGCAAAGTAGTACAATGGATTAGAGAAGATGCTTGATCTGCAGCCTCCTAGTTTCTTGTTATAATTGACTTACTTTCAGCTTATTTATTGAAATAATTAATTCTATAAATTGTTGATTTTTTGGGCTAGGTGTCTCTGATTAGTGAACCTTGAGCAAAGTGCAATTACTGAGAAACATTACTAATTATTTTTGTGTGCGCAATGGATCTACTTGCATTACAGATCCACCCTCATTTCATGTTGATTAATTTATTTAAAAAAATCTTTCTAGCTGCTTTCGCAAAGCAAAAGAGCAGAGTTTTCCTCATAGGGAGCAATTTTTTGTAATTTAATTTCTAAGCAAGCATATCTTGAAGCTTTTGATAGTTATAGGTAGTTTCTTTCTGTAAATGTTACCAGTCATTTTGTTCTTCTGTATGAAAGCTGATCACAGTAGTAACAGGCCTTGTTATTTAAGCTTACTTAAAACATTAATGATACAGTGCTTTCACATTATCTTTGTGTTTTGCATATTTGATGTTAACATTTTGTTTCATGAATAGGAAATTTTAAAATGAATGTGGGTACGAGGGATTTGCCAATTTTATTTGCAACAAATTGTAATCACGCTTTTAAAGAAATATATTGTAAAATAGAATTAGCATTGGCAATTTCCTTTTTATGGTATCAAAGAGTGGTAGCACGTTTTATTGCAAAGATTGAATTGTCTTATCAGTCGTTAAAACGAATGGAACTAATTTGAAGCAAATTTTGTCAGACTACGGAAACTTTTTATATCATTGAAGGAACAGTGTAAGGTGCAAAAAACTTATTTTCAATACCTAAGCAAGCGCTTTTCTAACCGACTTCTGTCTGTAAAAAGTTTTTCAAGCTGGCTTGCTTTTAACAAAAAATTTTGGTTGAAAAGAAAAATTGATGTTCTTTTTGAACAGCAGACTAAAAAAGCCTGTTCTAAAATATCAAAACAAAATGTGGGCAATCCAGGCAGCTATTGATTGTGTTAGTTACTTTTTAGACTTTGGCTGGATCAACGAACAGCCAGAGAGTACTTGTTATATAATTGTATTTAAAAAATCGTCTACTTCGAATATATCAACCACTGAGTATCACTATATTAATTTTAACGTTAGTTTTTGTTTCTGAAGAAAGTGATGCAATAAAATGTATGGAATAAAAATCTTTAATGTGATTTCAAAGAAAGAAAATGATTTTCTTTAAAAAAAAAGGAAAGAAAAATTGCACATAATTTAACATCCCTTCAGTGCTTCATTCAGTAATTCAGCGAAAATCATCATCAGGTCGCGCAGGTGCTGCTGCTGCCGGGCATTTCTTTCAGGGCCACACCGGAGTGCCACTTTCTGCTCCAAGGCTTGCTTCTTTGCCTGCCTTTTTCTTGTCCTTGATCTCAACTCCTTCAGTTGTACCGAAGTTATCTTGTCTGCTCTTTTCCTCCTATTTCTCAATGACACTTTCCTTCTCTTAACACAGCAACGCTGCATTGCTTTCTTTCCTTCTGGAAGTGCAGTGCCTTTATTAGCCGTCAAGTCTAATGAGGGACTCGTTGCGGGAGACTGTCCTGGGGTTGCTGTTTCACGTTTAGTTAAACTAATAGTCACATCAGCCTCCGTCGATTCAGAGTTTTGAATGTGAATCACCAAGAGCACGACCAAAATTTGAGTAATTCTGGGAAATTGGAGCGTTTGTAAAAATGAAATTATAAAAGTTGCATCTCACCTTATTATCATTTCTCTGCCTTGTCTGATTGCAAGCACGGATGGCGGGCGTCTGGCTCAAGAGTGAGTTTGAAAGAAGGTTTGCAAAAAGTTTTCTTACTTTGGTTGTTTTGCTAAATCAGCACTTTGCATGGCACAAAACTTCTTGAACGGAGATAGCAAAGAGCATGATATTTATGGTATTGCAAAATTTTGTATAAAGCAGGAAAAGAAAAGATCAACTTTTCTAGTAAACACGAGAAATGCTCAATATATTTCAAATATTATAACTATTTGTAATTATAGCATGTTTCCAAATTTTGTTCATCAAGCCGAGCATAAATAAAATAAACTCCATTAGCCATATAGTAGCTCTTTTGTGGAACAATTAACGCAAAAGCGCCAACTATTCACGTGCCAGATTAGATATGAATATTTGATAGCGCCGCTGTGCACGCGCGTTTTCCTATTTTTGTAACCAAAGCCAAAGCCGTGGTCTTCATCTCTCATGGGGCCGTCACGCTGCACATAAGCGCACAGTACGAGAATCAGCAAGAGTCCGTGTTTTGCAATAACAAAGCACAAAGCTCTGCTCTTACAAATTGTACGCTCAGATAGAAATTATACACTTTATCTCTTTGAATAAATATGAATAATCGAAAAAGGCACGGATTTTTCAATAAAATGAATTTATTTTTATTTTATTTTATAAATAAATATTTAAAATCAAATGTCAATCATTTCTTCATTAAAAGATGGACAGTATTTAAAGACAACAAAATAAAATTGACGTGTTTGTGTTTCAAATATTTTTTTTTTTTAATCTTTTCAACAAAATCACTTTCTTTTGAATCAAAATCGCCGGAATCATAACTTATTAATGATTTTGTAACAGATAAAAAAAATTATAAATTATGAAATTATCGAATATGTTTCTGCAGATTTTTTACTTGCTTAATTCTCACTAAAAAATACATTTCTCCAGAGTTTTTAGCTCTAAATTCAGAATCGGAACTTTCAAAATTGAAATTAATGGACGGTGCGAAATTTATTTAAACAGGACAAAAAAAAGTGTCACCATTTATCATTTGTAAACTTTTGCTATAAATTTCAATTTAAAAGGCAGGCTATGCTCTAATATCATTTAAAAAATAGCTCATTCATTCAGTCGCATTTTTTCAGTATCCATTTAATTCAACGTGTGTTAAATGGTATGAATCAAAATAAAAGGAAACCAGTTGAGAGTTATGTAACAGGTACAATTACTAGAAAATATCTAGATTAAAAAAAAATATATACAGATGGAAAATTTTATAAGAAAACATTTTTAGACTATTAAAATAATAATGAGTTGAAATGAAAGCATGAATGTGCCGCGATGGGATGCATCTTGGATGTCGGCAAAAGTGGAACTAACAGCACAGCGCCCCAAACGGCGAAGGGGCTGTTTTGGCGAGAAGCGCCGTGTCGAAAAGCGGGGCGCATGAGCAGCGCGGACACACATTTCATTGATTGCTGGTATCGACCAGGGCAAATGCACCCTCCTCCTCGAACGAGAGCAGCAAAGAGTGAATCAAAGTCGGACTGCGCCCTCAACGACAAAATGATCTGATCTTCGGGGCCGTTGATTTGACTGGAATTTCGCCCGCACCGCCGACTGCCGACAAAGCCCAGACATGCAGCCGCCACCACGCAAGGTGAGTGTCCGCCGCCCCTGTCCGACAAATGGCACCCTCTTCTCGCCACTTCGCACCACCAAATCGGCCGCTAACTGTGTCAGCTGGATTTTGGGCTGCTGATGGGCCTTATCACATCATTTAGGACTCTTTTCTAATGGGGACGTTTCGTAGTTCGAGTGGGTTTCTGTGTGGTTGGGATTTGGGTCTGTAATCGTGAAATGGTTGGTACATTTTGCCTCAGCATGCTCGATGGAGTATGAAGGGAATCAATTGAATTGAAGTAAAAATGGGGGGAATATTTTCTTAATTAGTAAAGAATATTTAAAAAATATTTCAACATTTCTGAATAATTGGGAACTGTGGATTTGACTCTATTTATAGGAAAAAATTAAATATTTCTCATTACATAAAAAAAATATGATAGTTCGTACAATTCATTTATTAAAAAAAAAAATGTTTCGTAAATAAAAATTTAATTTAGAATTTAAAATAAATTTAAACAATCCAAAATTTCAGTGTTAAAATACATACATTAATTAATAATAATAAGGCAAAGTTCTTTTATCTAATTTTAAGGTCAAACTCAGTTTTTCTTTCTCTTCTTCAAATCAAAGGCATTCCACCGCTATTTTCGCGACTCGTCGTCGCGCTAGAGCAGGTGCAACAAATAAGCGGGCAATTTTAGTCCATACGTGCTGAACGAATTCTATCACCGAGTCGGTGGTAAATTATTCACACGCAGTAGCCGCTTTCCAAGATATGCAACACACCCTTTCGCAGTCACTAACGGCCCATTGAAAACGATTTTCTATTCATTCAGCGGCTTAAATGCTTTTCTGTGTTTCACAAAAGGCAGTGGACAGAACAGTTCTAGAAAATGGTTATTAAATAGAATGCAAATGATCAAAACGAGTTAATGCTTTAGCAAAATCACATCAATAGTAAGTTTAAAGAGATTTGAAAATTGCCTTATTACTAAATTGTCCAATGAAGATAAAAATTGCTTAGGGAACTGCGGGAAATAAGAAAAATATCAATTTTCACAAGTATTTTCCAATAAAAATTTTGTTATGGACCGAGAAGCTGAAATAATAATAATAATTTTAAAATATACATAAAGAACATCAAAAAACCTATAATTTATAATTCCATTTACATAAATTTTGAAACGAACTATAGATAAATTTAAAAAGAATGAAAAAATTTGTTTTAACCAATTGATGAATGTTTCCCTCTCCTCCTTTTGCTCAACAGGGCAGCTATGCCAAATTTCTCAAGAGTTTGCATACGGAGCAGATTAACAAGCTGCAGGTGAAGAATCAGTACGAGTGCGAGTTGTTGGATGACATAAGGTAAACAAAAGCCGGCATCAAGTTTTCCCTTGGCGCGAGTAATTTACTAATTATTTTCATTCTCTCGGCAACAGGAACTTCACAAAGCAGCGATCCGCAATTGAGAAATCGTACTCAGAGGTGAGTAAAAAAATTTATTGAAACAAGATGTTTTTTTACACGACTCTTTTGCTTCAGGCACTTCTAAAATTGGCGACTGTTTATCTGAACAAGAAAATTCCTGACATTCCCGACATAAAATTAGAGGGTGGCGAGGAAAGATGGTACTTTTTGAAACGAAATTTCAATTTGAAATTAATTTTGACTCTTTAGGAATATGTGGAATGTGTGGCGAACGGTGCTAGAGGAGAACGAAAAATTAGCCAAGGCAAGATTAGCCGCCGTGGAGGTTTTCCAGCAGGTCATTTCAGACGACGCAAAAGTCCTGCGTGCCCACAAAGTGGGAAATGCCAAAAAGGTGAGCAGATCGCAAACATTTCTTTTTAACCGCCTGGAAATTTTTTCGGAGGCAACCGCCTTGACCTGCATGTCGGGCAGGTTGCATACTTTTAGAATGCACCGCTCGGAGGTTTGATTTTTCATTATTCCATCTGCACCGATTTTTCTCCTCTTTTGTCTGCGAGCCTCATCAGCGATTCTCTTTAAAGTTAATTAAAAAAAAAAACTAGTACAGGGTAAAAAAAATAACATAAAAGAAAAAAATATAGACCTCGGTGTGTAAGACGCTCTTTTTACCGTTGATATGCATTGAATAATTGACGAATTGCAGTGCATGGAGCAACTCGGGACGATTCAGAAAGAGGTTCAGAATACCGTGCAGGACGTGGATCGACACAAGAAGTTGTACTTTGACGAGGAGTATTCGGCGCACGACGTGCGCGACAAGGCAAAGGACATCGAGGAAAAGTAAATAGAAAATGAATTTAATTCAAAGGGCGGTGCCTTAATTTTGCTTGCTTGTTTTAAGGTTGAAAAAGAAGAAGGGCTCGTTTTTCACATCGATCACGTCACTGCAGAAAAATAGCGCCAAGGTTTGCAATTACCTGATTAAAAATTAAGAGAATAATACGTTTTTTTCCAGCTCACTTCCAAACGCGAAATCATGGACTCAAGATCGACCGGAGCCAGAAACGACTACCTGCTCAGCCTGTCCGCAGCTAATGCTCATCAGACGCGGTACTTTGTGGTGGATTTGCAGAGCACCATGCAGGTGAGATTATTTTAATCATAAAACATTTTAAATTTATTGAAAATCAGCCAGCCATAATATACTTGTTAAAATTTATTAAAATAATGATCTTTTAAATTGGCAAATATGTTGTAAAAATATTGATTTTATTTTCAATTGACGCAACTTGCAGACAATGGAAAGTGGTGTTTTTGAAAGGGTACAGGAATATTTGACCTTGATTGGTCGGATGGAGCTCCTGACGTGCTCGGCCACACAAACGTCTTTCACCCGCATCAGGGACCAGGCCAACAAAGTAAGTAGCACTTTTGCGCCTTTCTCAATCTCATCTCGCTGCCCTTTATTTACGACTTCCCACCCCCATGAGACACGTCGAGCGTGAGAGAAAAGCACCCAGCAGGGTAGCATTTTAATGAGCTGGCTTTGAAAGTTTGAATTGCGTTTTCCGTGCGGTGGAGGCTTGAAATTGACTTTTATTAATTTATCACTGTTATAAATTTGGACTCCTATATAAAGATTTGTCTGAAAAAATTGCGTGCGTGATGAGCCACCGACAAAAATAAACTGGAATCAATTTTTCCCCAAACCCAAGCCAATCTGATTTTGATTAAAATTTAAACTTGCTGAAATCCACTTGGATCAATCAAACTTATTTCTCTGAACTCTCGACAGCTCACCAGAGACTACAACATGCAGTGCTGCTACCTCTTCTTCCCAGTGTTGAAGCAACACATTCAGTATGAGTACGAGCCTTGCTGCAATGACCCGATCGACAAGATTACAGTGCCTGACCCTACCAGCGTCACCGCGGCGGCCGTCACCAAGGAGGCCAAGCGCCTAGCCAACAAAATTGGCCGCGAGTCCATCAGCATCCGCGAGAACACGAAAAAATTGAGTCATCTGCAAGTACTCAGGGATTCGGGCCAAAAGACTGACCCCAATGACCCCAACGGGCCCGACCTCGAATCCAAAATCGAAGATCTCAAACTGAGCATCCGCCGGTCAGAGACCTCCAAAATCAAGGCCGAGGCGCGAATTAACTGTTTAAAAGATGGTGGAGGTAAATTAAAACTAATTAATTAATCCAAAAGAAAATATCGAATGAATAATAAAATATCTGATTTAAGTTTAAGGATATAAAATATAATATAAAATATACAAATTATTAAAATTAAGTCCAATCAGTCCAATTATACTTATTTATCATCTCTTTGATCGATTGATTTAAAATTAATAAAATTTAATTTCAGTAAACGTTGATGAATTCTTGCAAGATGTGGAAAGCCTAAGCACACTTGAGCTGCCAAGATCAGCCTCAGCTCTTTCCGTACACACCGACGCCTCTGGAGTAATAATTAAAATATTTTTTAAATCAGTCTCTTATTTATTTAACTATTAATTATTCCAACAGGAGGCTCAAGGAGCAAGTTCAGATTCCTTCTACGACGACTCTGATTATGGTGAAGCTGACACGGCCGTCATCGCTGAGCGACCTTCCACTGCTGAAATTGATGAAAGAGAGGCCCAAGAGGCGGCTGAGGTTGAGGCCATGATGGAAGCCGAGAGAGCCAAAATTGAGCAGATGACGGCCGCCTGGGACGACCCAACCAGCATCGACTGGGGACACGAGGATTTGACTGGCGGCCCAGCTCCTCCGGAAGCTGAAGTTGAGGAAGTGGCCTACAGATGCATTGCCCTATACAACTACACCGTAAATCAGTTAACGCCACAATTTTTCACTTTTTGTAAGTTTTTTTTTCCAATCTAGGCACAAAACCCCGATGAGCTGAGCATTGTGGAAAATGAAACTCTTGAAGTCCTAGCAGGGGCGGATTATGACGCTGGAGAGGGTTGGTTAAGGGCGAGAAACTCCAGAGGTGATCAAGGATTTGTACCTCAAAATTATTTGGATTATCCGCAAGACCAGCAGGTTGGAAGATAAAGTAAAATTAAAATTTAAAAGATATTAATGCGCCCTTTTTTTAGCCTGCAGACGCAATGGTTGAACAGTCGCCACAAGAGGCGCCGGGCATTTCATTCTCGTCCGTCGATTACACGGTCGAGGCGGAAGAGATGGAAATTCAGCAGCACGCTCAGTACCAAGAGCCTCCTCAAATGGACGCTCCCCCAGCTCCTCCGCCACAACAGATGAGAGGCGAAATTCCTGCTCCGCTTAACTTGCAAAACGGTAAAAAATTGCATCTTTGTAAAAATAAAAAAAATCTGTTTGTTACCAAGCCCATCAATAAGAACAAAAATGGAAGTTGTTTCCGTCTAAGTTGGAGCTCGGCCAACTTTTGGCAGCGAATTATCGATTTTTTTCATAACCATTAAGCCAAATGCCAACGAAAGATGATGGAATATTAAATTAAATTCTTTCCGCAGGTGATCAGCACGAATATTGCGTGGCGATGTACGACTACGAGGCTACTTGCGACGAGGAATTGACTTTCGAAGAAGGCACCGTACTCAGAGTCCTCCGGAAAAACGTTCACTCCGTCGACGACGGCTGGTGGGAGGGTGAAATGATGACCGAGGAGGGAAACTCAGTGATCGGACTCTTCCCCTCGCTGGTCATTGCAGAATGTGGTCCTGACGGAGAACCACTTTCAACCGAGGTAAAGGAAAAAATATTACAAAATGTTGGAATTTCTTGAAACGCACTTTTGGCAGGAGGGTGACAGTCCGCCCATGTCGGCGCCGCCGGTGTTCACGCCGCCGGATGTGCCTCCGTTCCTGCTGCCACCAGAGGATGTGATCATCACGCAGCCGACGCCAGAAATTGAGCACCACAAAGGTGAGCAAGGGTGCGGTGAATCGATGCGGAGAGACTAATGACCGGGGCGACGCTTTTTTGCAGTGGTGCCTGAATTGTGCAATGAGACAATAGAAGAGGAGCAGGAGGAAGAAGAATTCTCGATTAAACTGAACAGAGGCCAACATCAACATTACAAGACCCAGTTCTCGCAAGACTCAGCCAACACAGGTATGTTAGGAATTAATAAATTTTTAACGAAGCGCCTGCAGCTTTCCAAGTATGCAACCAGCACGTCTCCTCTGCATAAGTTTTACAATCTCAAGACAAACTTTGCTATCTTATTTAAATTATTCGTTACCTTTAACTAGCGACAATTGAAAATTTTAACTATACTAATTGAAAATTTCAGAGGTAGAAAACAAAGTGGGCATTCCAGACATATGCATTGAGCTACACGGAGAGGTAAAATTTAATTTTTAAATTATGCTAGAAAATATCTTAACAAAATTTTTGATTAAGGATGAAATGGCTGACGACGAAGAAGGCGATGAGAAGGATGATTCCGGACTCGGTGCTCAAATTGTCATTACGGCAGCCACCCCAATGACTGAGGAACCAGACCAACCCTTCCCCCCACCACCAGTGAGATGAAAACAACTTCATAATTTGCTTGATAATCTTTTCTTGTGATTTCTGAAGGAGGAAGATGACACGCCTGCCGACGAAGTGAGCACCTCCGAGCCGGCCACCACCGAGATTGAAGTGACCCTGAAGGAAACCGAGGATGAAGACGCCTCCTCGTCAGCAACCACCACCCCGCCCCAGCACATCATTCCCGACGAGCTGGAACTGCAGCAACTGGCAAAGCTCAGCAGTTTAAAGGAGTCGGACGCGTAAGGATCGGTTCGATAAGAATTAAAATAATGGAAACTCACACACCGTAGAAGATCGAGAGCACTAAGTATTCAATGTTAGAAGCAGCAATAAGATTGACATAATGTACATATTATGAGAAAAGCAGAGAGATGAAATTATTATTCGACGTTACGGAAACACTACTCTTCTTATACCCCCTTAGGTCCAATGCCAAACTTGCCACTCTCACACACGTTAACTTGGTTATACAAGCAAGGATATTGTGACAAAGCAAATGCGTTTTTTACTGTCTGTTTCACAAAAATGCCTCCTCCTCTCTTCCGTATACAACTCCTGAGTAGGCTATCCTCCTCCTTGAGTATAAAACTAAGTATTTGATTGAACGAGCAAAGTGCTAAGAGTATTATTCAATCACTTGCTGTAAGTGAATTAATAGCTGAATGCTGCCACAGCTCATAAAAAATTAAACGCGCATTGAAAAGAAAAAAAAATAACTCAATAGATTCATGGTGACCAGCAGGACGGTTTAAAGAGTTCTGCAATAATTGCAGCTTTGCTCACGCAAACAGTGCATTTGAAGGGTCGGGAGAGCGGCCTACGGTTGAAATTAATTTGAAAGGACCACCAATTAGCAAAAAATGATGTTCTCAAAGGAGCATTTTGGGATTTTATTTGATCCCAGCGGGGCGAATTTTCTTTGAATCATGAGAAGGTTAATTTAAGGTAGAGGAAGTTTTTCTATTTCTCAATGTATAGTTTGGAATCCAATCCGTTAGTGAGACTCTTGATCATTTCATTAAATTCTGTGAAATTCAGAAAGCGTGTTTAAAACAGTCGAAAAGAACTAAAAAAACAGATAAAAATATTGACAGGTTTAATTGTAAGAGGTAGAAAATTATCGCGGAGCCATATCCAAAAACAAAAATCTACTCCCAGTTAAAGAAATTTATAGAAGTTGGGCGAATGAGAAGAAACTTGACTTTTTGGTGCTAAATAAGATGCGCCGGTATTTAAAAACTTGGAAGATCACCCTTTTATGAATTCATTTTGAAACATGGTCACCACCCGTTGACTCGATATTTAGGGAAACGCGAAAGTGCGCGAACTTATGTTGTCTGTCAAACACGCAGTGTTCCTTTGCGTATTTTCCTCAAACATTCACCAAAGAGCGATTGTATTTCGTGGTTGGACTTTTAGGTTCGGCGATAAACCAAGACGGCAGGCGAAATGCTTCACACTAAACCTTAATCTCTATGCCTTGTAGGTGTACGTACTGAAATATTATGGGAATAATTGTTGCATCAAATCACAAAATATTCATGGATTACTCTTGACAAACCAAAACTTTTGGCATTTAAGTTCCTAGCACGTTTTTGTTGGACTTGAATAGTGTTGGGCAAAATATACAAAAATATCACTAAATTTCATTATTCGCGAATATATTGCAAATTGATACATACTATCTGTATATTTCAGGAAAAATTAAAATGTATAGAAATGAATAATGAATATACAGATGACATAACTAAAATAATTGTTGAGCCATCAAATATGAAAGTATATTGTTTGTTGTACTGTAAATACTCCCCGCCCGCCAAGTGGTGTAAAAATTGTGCTAGGTATGTGTGCGTCTAAAAATCATATGCTCTTGTAGCTAAACCCCACCTTTTACTGCACAATTTTCAACGATATACTCGATTAAAATACTGACAATGAGAAAAAATACGATCGTTTGATCAAATTGTTATCCTAAACCCTTCGAGACGTAATTTCTGTTTGCGTCATTCCTCTCCTAGTGAGTGTGAAATTTATGAGATTTCAAAAACTATATTTAACTACAAATTATTGTGTTGGCGTGTAAATTTTTTCCCAACCAAACATTATAATCAGTTAAATTCTTATTATAGTTTGTGATATTTGGATTTTCATTTGACGCCATTTGACGCAGCTAGTAGGAAAAAGTAATGTGCTTGAAAGCGCCGTAGTTCCAAGAAACTGTAACACTCATTATTAGTTGGTATAAAAAACGATAGTTACATTCAACATGCATAATTGTGAGAGAATCAATGGCAGATCTTTTGGCAATAAAATTTACATTAACTCTCATCAACTGTTTTTATTTTGTAAAAATATGGCAAATAGTAAATTCTAAATAAATATATCTGAAGAACATATTTCATTTGAATATCTCTTTAAATACATTAATCTGTATATAATATCAACATGGTGTTGCAAGTCAAAATTCATTGTAATTCCTCATTTATTGCACGTCCCTCTCAGACAAGGTTAGTAATAAAACTATGGTATGAATTCTCCTATGGTAATGTTAAAAAATGTAAAAATCTAAAATATAGCTGCTTTTTCGCCAGTCTTAAGTAACAATAATAATTGTAATTCAAAAAGCAGCCCTCCCAGAGTTTATAATTTAGTATGTTTAACAACATAATTCTCTTTCCCTGTCTTTCGTAAATACTTCATGGTAAACTTCCGCATGGCCAACTTTTCAGCCACTGCTTTTTCCAAGTCCTCTTTTGTGTAATTTCCCTTTGCCTTCTCACCTGGCTTTTCAGTTTTCTTGGCGGTGTTTGATTCGCCAAATTTAAAATTGTGAATTTCGCTCAAAAATGGCAATTGTTCTGGCTTTAAACAGTTTGTGCTTAAATTAACCATAGCGGTATCAACATTCGGCTTTGGATCTATCTCATACCACTTGTAAGACACTTCTTTAGAGCCGTCATTCAAAAATCGCACTTTCCTTGGAGGAAGAGGAAAGTTGCCTGGCCGAGATACAAAGTATGGATTCAGTTTAGCTGTGGTCGTTTGCAAACTCTCACTCGAATCAGTTCCGCTTGATTGAATGTTGATTTTACTTAACTTATTGGTGAGTTCCTCATTGTGTTTGAATGGACGGGCTTTTTCTTTGACAATCTGCATGAGAGGATGATGCAGAATTTCCTTGTAGGTTGGTCGGTAAAAGCAATTGCTAGCCATCATGGGGCCAATGAAGTCGAACATCTTTTTGCAGTGTTCTCTTGTAGATGCAACTCTAATACTGAATTTAATTTTAAAATAAATGTTTATCTTAAATAAATGAAAGCTTACCTCCTGCCACAAATATTTTTCCTCAATTCTTCGTTAGCCCCAGTAAAGGGAGGGTTCAGCTGGTGCAAGTAATAGGCTATGCAGCCAACAGACCACACATCTGTTTTGAATGTCACAGGTTGGCACAACACAATTTCCTACGAGTCAAAATCGTCACATATATTAAATTCACAAATATAATATTTTTAATTCATACCGGAGGTGAGAAAGCAGTAATCTCTCCATTGCTGACAGGTGGTGTCAGTAAGTAATGAGCATGACGAAAGCCACCAAGTTTAGGTGTGAATTCTGAGGTAAGGAAAACACTGGACGGTTTTACATTTCTGTGCAAAATCTCTCTTTCTTCTAGGTACAGTAGCGCTTCGCTCAATCCTTTTATAACCTTGTAGATAAACTCGTCTTGAATCACATCTTTACAACTGAAAAATTGTGAAAAATCAATACATATATATTGTGTAAATCAACTAGCAGCGGAGCAGGAAAAAATAATTCAAATCTCAATACGACGAAAAAAAAAATTCATTTATTTGTATTTCTTACGCATTGGTCTTCGTAACAAGGTGCTGAAGATCCCTCTCTTTACAGTACTCCACCAACAAGCAGACTACACCTGTTTTGTCCACAAAATGCCCAAAAAGCTTCACTAGGTGACTTGAATCTCCAAGAAGACCTTGAATGGCAATTTCCTGGCTCACGACCTGCATAAGAATTCATATTATAGATAGATTTTTTATAAATTCATTGGCCTCATAAGAATTTCATACTGGGAAAATTAAAAATAATCATACCTTTTTGTTTGAGGGGCAACTTGTCTCAATCCTCCTCATAACAAGTTTCTTCTTGTCAGTTTTGCGGCGGACTTTGTATGACCTGCCAAAGGTGCCTTCTCCAAGAAGAGGGCCAATGATAAAGTCGGACACATCCATGCCGAAATTTCATTGACGGTTCATGATAATGATAGATTTGTAGCTGTTTTTAGGAACTTATTCGCTGCAATCTGCAAAATTGCAAATTCTGCAACAGAAATCAGCAAAAGCAACCGGCCAAATGTTTTGAAAAGTGTTCTATCAGAGCACCAACCAAACAAGTTGATAAATTTAATAACCTTGCGCAAGAAGATACTCTAGTAAATATTAAGCAAGGTAATTAAATTTTAAATGAAAAATTTTCATAAAAATATTTGCTATGACATGTAGTATAAGCTCCGGGAAGCGTTTCCGGAGGTAAAATTGTCTACTAATTTTTTCACTTTGTTGGCGCTAAATACCTCACACACGTTACTCAACATAGTTACGAATGTACCCACGTGCGACGAGGGGCGCTGATGACGGCCTACGAGCAGGCAGAACAAGACAAGTTTCGTTCGGTACCACACCACAACATCAGCAGACTTGACACAGGGAATCTGGAAACAGAGCCTAACTTATCATCTGCCAGTATTGGTGACGCCACGAATTGACCGATTTCCCGCTTTCGGACGGTCGGACGACCCACCAATTCGCAAGCCATCCGTTGCGAGCGCCATCGGCAGGGCCGCACTGCGAAATTCAAGCGCATATCGGCGCACCACAGTGCGAAATCAACCCCAAAGTGTTACGTAAACACCCGTCTGCGGGAGAGGTGCATGAACCAATTCTTGCGCTTCACTTCGCACCAACACCATTGACGTCTGTGTTTTTCCTGCAGGTGAGCTCAGGATTATATTTCAAATTCACTTTCCTGACCTAGAAATGTTTGCATCCCATTTTATTCGCATAAAAGTACACTTAATCCAATCGAGTCAAGCGAGCTAAACGCAGAGGTCTTAATAGAAAAAAAATTGGCACTAGCGAAAGCGAATCTATTTTTTTTTTAATTTGTTCCCACACGTGCCCTATTTGAAATGTTAAAATTTTTAATTGAGATTTTAATTTTGCTTTCATCGTTTTATTTAAAATTGCACGGATTATTAGAAAGCGTAGGCCGGAGAAACAATGCACTGCTGTGAATAATAGCAATGAAATTTTCACTCACTGTTACATAATCACCATTCAACTTTTCTCACTTTTTCTTATTTTAATGCAGTTTTTGAGAGACTTCTTATTTAAAATTGTTAAAAGCTTATATTTTGAATGAATAAGATCATAACCTCGGTTTTTTAAGTCAATCTACGTGAACAATATTAGAATAATTATGTAATAATTATGATAAAAATGTAATTTTCTCAGTAAAAAAAAAAAATAAACACGATTGAGTTTTAATAAAAAAATGAAATTAAATATTTCCTAACCGTTTTGGAGATTTTAAATAATTTAAACATTTAATAATTAATGCTATCAAATAATTATTAAAGTAAATAAGATAATATTAAAAATTATTTCTTCTTGATGATCGTTTCTTGCAACCACTTGCAACAATGAAACTTTTATTTTGTCAAAACCTTCAAATCACTGGTTGCTAACCTTGAGAACAATATTAGTCCACAAGAAACAACAAACAAGAGAATTTTGGAGATTTTCATATCCACAACTGTTCATTCTCCTTGCTATTAAAAGAATTCAACATTTTAAATCAGAATGAAAAGAAAATCCCGTAAAAGAGTGAAAACCTTAGGTTTAAATTTTTTCATAAAATATTTTTCATTTGAAGCGTTTTTAGTGAAAGCAACACCTCATTTTGCAGTTTGGAGCAAAATATTTGGTTTCCTTTTTCTGTGGACAGAATATCGACGGTTTAATCTTTCTTAACAATTTTTTTATAGCTGACTATTTTTCTTCATACAATAAATTATTTAAATTCAATTTTTGATTTTTTTATTACTGAAAAAAAAATTTATTGTAAATCTGAGCACAATTATTATCATTTCTTGAACGAGAAAAAAAGTTGATGCACTTTTTGTTTTACAAGTCAATCCACAAAAACCGGTCAAAACCACCTGACCAGCACCTGACAGCGTATAAAAGAATCAGGTGGACTTACTTTTAGTGGAGGGCATTGACTGGTGCATTGCAAATGCCTATCTGTTAATGAAAATTAGTTGCTTCAATTGTACAGTAATTATTTCAAACGCAGTATGCAGCATTATGTAATAGTGGCGAAAAAACGTGCAGTGTTGAGAGATAAGTTTTTTTAAGAGACCAGGTGACGTTCTGCATCAAGAGACTCAAGAGAGCGGGATGCGCTCTCGTGACTGCTGCTCACGTGTCGGCGCTCGCCAGCCGCCTCGTTACGTAATCGCCTATAATAAAATTGTGTTACACTACATGTGAACCTAATTTGAGTCTGATTTTTTAAGTAGATCGGGAAGTTAATAAAGGGAGTTTTTTTTGTACAGTTGTCAAATTTTGTTGAAATGTTTATCACTTCTCCGCGTGAATTTTTATCAGGGATAATTTTAAATCGTAAATGATTGTGAAATCTGCTATTTAAGAACAAGGTCTCTCTATATTACTTTAAGTGTCATGCTATATTTTTGCATCATAAAAAATATGAAAAATTGAGAGACATTAACGTTGGACCAAAAATATCAAGCAGCTCGCAGTCGGACATAAATTAGCCTTAAGTCGTCGTGGGCTGAAATATGAAATAAACTACTTGGATTGAATAAAAGCTAATAGTTTCAGAACAGGTTTCTCTTGACGGAGACGGTGATGGCGGGCATACGGAATTAAGGATCACTTTTTTTACTTAACTTGTTTCCGCTGGTTTTACATGATCTTAACAAACTGTTATCGCTCACATCACCTTTAAATTGAAAATATTCTACCTCTGTTTTAACCTTAATCTGTAATTTATTAGAAAACTGAGTACTAATAGGTGATTATATAACCATGCAGGCCAAATTTTGATTCCAATTTTTCCTCATATTGTTACTCCACGATTTTAAAGATATGCTTCTATTTGGTTACGTCAGTTTCTTCCAGAAATCGCTAAATTTTATTATTACTGGGTGAGAACGTGGTGAGATATAAAGTCGTGTGTCTGCAAATCACGTGTCTGTGAATTATCAGTTGAGCGGCTGTCTTCCTATCTTAGGACCTATTATTCACATGGGATTTGTGCACGCATGTCAACCAATCACGTTTTGTTTTGGGAGGGTGTGAGTCTACAAAATTATTGCATTAACGAGTAAACCATCAGATTTCACCTCAAACTGTTACATAAGAGCATAGAAATTTTAGTAATTTCCAGTCATCCCAATTGAACTGTTTACTTCTTCGCTCTTGATTGCGTTTGATTTATAATTATAAAGTCAAAATTAAAAATAAACCAATTCAAACTGGTATCGTAATTAGCCCTGTAGAAAAATTCCTAAATGTTAACAAAAACACCCATCACATTACTTTTTACTTTCCATGTCGATTCAGGTCACTTATCTTCTTTTGTAATAATAGTTGAAAATTCAGATTCCATAGTTCATTTTTAAGATAGACAAGCAAGCGAGGCGCAGCACCAACTTATATAAGAATTTCCAGGAATTTCCTAATCCTATATATTATCTTTTGCTCACGTGTTGCAAAAATTTTTCAAAACAAATGCGTGACCAAAGAACATTTTAACGTTAAAAAGATTCCTCATTGATTTTTAATAAATTTCGCACACAAATCAGAAACAATGTCGGGCAATTATCAAGTTTCCATCTTGCTTTTTCCACGTCAATCGTGCGAAAAGTCCATCTTTATTCCTCTGCATAGGCAATTGCATTTAGACGATTACATAACCGAAGCAACGGACCGTGTGTTGCGCGCACCCTCCTATGTTACATAATCATCACCACGGCGCCTGTACCGCGACTTCGGCTTTTTACTTGTCAGTGTATAGTTCTCCTCTTGGGCGGTGAGACGAGTGCTGGATGCGCTCCGATTGCATTCCCAGCGCGGTATGAAGTGGAAGTGCCTTGTTTACGCTCAACTCGCTAATTGTTCCGATAAAGATACGCGGGGATTGAAGCTGCAAGTACAGAGCCTGAAATGCAAGTGAGCTGACCTTTTCCCTAGCCTGTGGAGTTTTTCCTCAGATAAGTAGTTAGTCAGCAAGAATCGGAGGCTGTTGAAAAATCCCATTGACTTCTAACTAAGGAATTTTGCTCATTTTAATTAATTTTAACAAAGGAGCTTCATTGCGTATAAAATTTAAGGAAGATGATTTGTCATTAGCAAGGATTTTATATCTAGATTCTTCTTCTTCGTGGAAGATTTATAGCATAATTATGCAACGCGTTATGTATGAATGTTATGTAACAATTTGATATAAATTTCCGCTTCCTCGACTTACAATCTCGCTAATCAATCTTCATGCTGTAGGCTTGTATTATTTTAAATAAATCATTATATTTGGACGAAATTGAAATTTGTAAGGTGGTTCTTAACTTAATTCTTCTGACTTCCATTTATTTTATGATTTGAAATGTCACAATTGCAGCGGTTAATATTTTGTTTGTCTAAAAGGTTCAAAGTTTAAAGTTTAAGTTCAAAAGCCGTGTGGGGGTGGGGGTGTATTTAATTGAAGCTCACTTATATTTTTATTAGGTTTATAACTATTTATTTACGCACAGTAAAAATTATTTAATTGAAATAATTAATAAATACTGAATTTTATTATAAAAATTAAATAGATGCACAATATTCAGTTCAAATTAAAAATAATAATGCAACACTTGTTTACTTACCGGTTCAAAACTTTTATAGAAAAATCTTTTGGTAGAGGGGAATCGTTGTTTGAACAGATGTCCAAATTTCACTTTATATTCCATCTTAATCCGTTTTTTAAACGTTTCATGGTAATAGACGTAATTTTTTTATGCTTTTTTAATGTCAGTCCATTCAAATTTTTCTTGGGAAAAAAAGAAAAAGGTGTAATCTGCATACAATGCTGTTTTTATGATAAATCCTGCATCATTTGCCAGATACAAATTGCGATTTTATCATTAATTTACTCGATTTTGTTGGGTCCATGGATTTTTGATGCACTCGCAAAATTGAACTAATTGATTCAGTTTTATTTACGTTTTTCAATTATGCACTCAAAGAGTGGAAGCAAAAGTAATGAAATCATGCTTTGCGAATTTTTTCAGAGCATTTGACCAAAAAAATCTTTTAGTTCTAAACCTTAGAAGATAAAATTTATCGATTATGTATAAAGAATTTATGAAAACGGCGAGATTTCTACTTATCAGACTAGTTTTTGCTTCTTTGAATCATCAATCAGATTTTAATTATTGGAAAGTTGCCAATTAAAATGGAGGTGCCCAAATCATGTGACTCTCAGGGCCAACCTGTCGTTGATCGTTTTTATTGTCAATTTCTATTTTTACACTTATATAATTTGCATCAGATCACGCGCTTCGGTCTGTCCTGTAAAATTTTGCCGGTGTACTCAGTGACTCGGCTGTCCCAGCCAGAGCGTATCCTGTGACACTTTGGCTTCATCAGTTCATCGCAGTCCATTATCAAATTGAAAAAGTCGCCACAAAAGAATCATGGGCATTGTTACGTCGCCGTATTTTTGGTAACACAAAATGTAATTCTATATGCCCTATATGCATTTATATATATTTTCTCCCGTGTATAATAGTTTAGAAATTATGGTTCAACACTTGCATGCTATTTTCAGCAGCGGCTTTTGTCCAGCTTGAAAATAAGCGAATGCATTGTGGGGCTTCGATTATTACTACACTTGGCACTAACCGTGTTATGTAACACTTAGCTGACCAAAATTATATAAAATAGTAAGCTGCGTGTGATCTAAGCACGCGTGAAATAACTTGTATGAAAATTGTTTTGCAATAGTAAATTATTCATCGTGAACACATCACAAAGACTCGATAGAAAAATTTTCTAGTTCAATTTCACTGTAATACACTTGCATAAAAACGAGCACCCCTTTTATCAAATAGGGCGTTCAATATTGCGTTGATATATTAACACGTCGCGTCTCTATTGTTAATGCAGACTGCAATAAAGATGGAAAGAGAAAATGACTGATCGACCTTCCTCAATGTCGTTGCCTTTTGAATAACTTAATAAACTGTTGTCTTACTTTCGAAAACTTAGATAAGCAACAGATTCATAAATTTACAATTCTACGCAGATTCTGCGTCATCTAGTCTGACCTACATTAAACCGAACTTTTTATTGAATATATTTTTAACCATAAAAACAAGTTGCAAAGGACAATTGTAAATTTTTTAAATGTTAAACACTGCAATTTTTTTAATCCAAAATACACGTTGGAATTTTTATCTGAAAAGTTAGAATCGACCACTTCATCTCAGTTTTTTTGATAAGTAATTAATTATTTTATTTAAAAGGTCCTGACTTGGTCATTAAAAACAAATAAAAAAAAGGTTAACAACTGTAGAAATAATAGTGTTCTTTTGTTGGTCAGATTTTTTCGATGAAAAATTTATGTCCAATTTGAGCAGTTAATATTGACTCTGTCAGATTTTACAAATACATTGACTTCTCTAATCCAATATTGTCTTTGTTATTTGCAGGCCAACCCAGGCTAATGGCTTTGTTCCTCGGTCAGCGCCTCCAGTGCCTTTCCACCCTGAGCCATCTCGACTCATTTAGCAGCGCAGTTGGCCGGTCGCGGAAAAACGGCTTCCATGAACGTGTTCAAAGTGCTGCTGCTGCAGTTGTTTAGACTCATAGTGTGGTTGCTGTTCCAAAAGAAAGCGGACCCTATCAAGAAACGGATCAAAATGAACGCGGTGGACGTAGCGCAGGACGCATTCAATAGCCGCAACTTCCGTCTTGCAGCTGAAATGTACAAGAAGTGCGTCAACGAAACAGTCCCTGGAAACCCCATGGCCAAACTGGACCTCCAGTTTGGCTATGCGGACTCTCTGGCCAACTGCGGCCGCCTCCGCGAGGCTGTTGCCGTGTACACATGCATTTATAAGAAAGGGTGCGCCCCTGAGAAACTGAGGCACTTGGCCACTGCCCTCATCGGCACTCTGCAGGCCGAAGGACCCCCTCTGTCTGCACTGCACTTCGACCCGCTGGCTTGTGTCATATGCGGAGGTGTGTTGAAGCAGCCCACCAGCTGGAACTGTGGCCACTGTGCATGCTTAAAGTGTGACCAGAAGCAACCAAGAGACAATCATTGTCCTAGGTAATTATTTTCAGAAAAAATTGAGGCGATCATTCTTTGGTGTTAATTTTGTTTTTAGAATATACATTTTTCAATTTACTAACTTTAAAACTAGAAAAACAATATGTTTGGCTTCAAAACATTGATTTCATTTGATTATTATTTATTTCTTTTTTTTTTTAATTAGATGTGGAAAGCCTAAAGGCCGGTCGCGTAAGGAGATCAACGTGTTAGCCAACAACCTTGTGCAGAAACTCTGGCCACATCATTTGAGTGCTGCAACCATAAGAGATGATGGCAACAACCTTTTTAAAGACGGCTGTCTTAAAGAAGCCTTAGAGAAGTACAATGCTGCTGATGAATTAGGTCAGTATTTTATCTCAATAGCTAATTTATACCTAACAGACTTTAAATCATTTTTCAGTCAAGGAGTATCCGTTAACGCTGGCCAACCGTTCCCATGTTTCATTGAGCTTAAGCAGAGCTCAAGCTGCACTGGCTGATGCCGAGACTGTGATAAAACGGTGGCCCCACTGGCCAAAGGTTTGAGACCTGATTAATAAAAACTAGAAAAGAAATCAATTTAGTTTTGATTTTCAGGGATACTTCCGGAGATCAATGGCATTGGCTTCTCTAGGCCGCCACGAAGAAGCGCTAGTTGCTTTAGCTAGTTGCATCGCCTTGGAGAAAAACCCTCATCCTTTACGACATGATTTGTGTTTAGCCCTACATCGTGTCTTAATTCCTTCCAACCGTTCCAAATCAACTCCTTTTTGGATAAAGAGACGAAAAAGGGCTTCCAGTGATTACGATGATAGTGGAGACGAAGACCTGCCTCAACACCAAGTAAGCCATTATCTAATTTTACTTGCAACTTTTCTAAAAGAAAAATCTTTCTTACAGCAAACTGAGTCAAGATCCCGCCAAAATGTTGTTCATGGCATAATTGATAGAGTACTTAAAGCTGCAGAGCTCTTAAAAAGTATTGCTATTTCTTTTTTAAAAAAATCATACTCACCTCTTTTTTATAGGTAATGCTAAAACTGACAAAAAGAACACTGAACTGCTAGCAAAACAGACTGTATGCCCTGCAGAGCCCATCGACTTTGAGTGTGTTCTCTGTAGCAGAACTCTTTGGCGTCCTGTGACCACCCAATGTGGTCATACCTACTGTTGGACCTGCTTGGATCGTTGCATTGACTACAGTCACCCATGCCCACTGTGCATGTCTCCACTCACAGAGGTAAGTTAAAAAATAATAATTAACCCAGCAATGTGGACAAATAAACAATAATAATAATTATAATTAATCTTTAATTTATTAGGGAGTTGCCGGAAATGAGAGGTCAGTCAGTGACTTTGTGGAAAAGGCTCTGTCTTTGTTGCTTCCTGAAGAGTATGAATTGCGCAAACTACAGGAACAAGAACAAACTTCCGAACCACACAGGAGGTGAATAAAATAAATAATTTGATGGAATTTTTCTTAATAAATAAGTTTTTAGGGTTCCAGTATTTGTTTGCACAACAGGATTTCCAGGAATTCCATGCCCCCTGTTTATATATGAACCTCGATATCGTCTGATGATTCGGAGAGCAGTGGAGAATGGAAATAGGCAGTTTGGAATGGCAGCTTATCTTGAGTCTGAAGGAAGGTCTGTGTTTTCTCAAAAGCCAGCAAATAAGACGAAAATATTATAATTGTTTTTTTTTTTTAGATATGCGGATTTTGGAACGATGCTGGAAATTCGAGATACTCTTTCATTTAACAATGGCTGCTCCATTGTTACTTCCATTGGTGTCAGTAGATTCAAAGTTCTTTCAAGGGGAGAAAAAGATGGCTACAACTTAGCTCAAGTAGAACTTCTAAAAGACGAGGCCATTCCAGAGGAAAGGCTGGAAGGTATATTTTCTTGTCATTATTTTTTCCGCTTTCTTCTAATAATATTATCCCTCAGTTGTTTCAGAATTGCATAATGAAGTTCGAGCAAGGGCCCAAACATGGCTGATGTCTCTACCCCAAAAAAGTAGATCCGAAATTGAGCAAACGTTTGGGCCAATGCCAGATATTGAGAGCGATTGGAATTCTTTGCCTGATGGGCCCCAGTGGACATGGTGGCTCATGGCAATTTTGCCTTTAGGATCAAAGCTAAAGGTAAATTAATTTTAAAATGTGCAGTTGTATTAAATTTTCTTCTAAAATTAGAAAGAAAAATAGCCAATTTTTGCAGTGATTAAAATCTCCCCTCTGCTTTTAGGTTGGAATTTTAAGCACAACAAGTTTGGAGAAAAGAATGAGGGCCATCAATAAAACTCTAGAGCACTTGACCTTCAGGGCTTAAAATTGTTAACGAAATGAGCTCTGGCAACGAATGTCGGAGACACTTCTTGTAAAAATTCATATCCAACTTGCTCTTTTCAGCGCATACTTGTAAACATTTTTGATAGTCACTAGTGACGTAACTATCCTATTGTGATGATAGACTCTGTGTTTTTTATAATTTAATAAGTTATTAAATTTGATCTTTTTTTATTTTCAAGCAAAAGGCTCACAACAATATGTAACTAATAAAATAATCTGCTACGATATACATAATTAAAAAAAATGCATTTCATTCTTAATTGAAAGTTTATACCGCCCTGCAATAAACTAAAAAAAAATGCAATTTTTTATTTAGTAAGTGGCGAAATTATGATAATAATGTGATAAAATGAAATTTTCAACTGTAGAACTTTTTGCAAACTACACTGTGCAGATGGTAGCACTGCTTTTTTAGAGATATGCAAGATGACGTCATTGGCATGCAAGCCCCTCCCAATTTTTTGACGTAAACTGGCTGATAAAAGTTTGTCACTGTTGATTCAGGTAAGATTGAACTTGAATTCTCTAACTTTTAACCCGCCGATCATGCAAATAATGCATTGAGCTATTGATTTCTAATTGGGAGCAGCGATGGAACTCAAAATTCACTGCCTACTAGGCTTATTTTCTTGTTAATCGGCGCTTACATGCACGCGTTGTACAAACTTAGGTTTCAAAATGGCTTCCTATTTATTATTGTCGCTTAATAATTGCTGCTGAATTTGACTGATTGCACTTTCAAACTCGAAATTACCTGCTCCTTGAGCAACTGAAAATCTTTACCTGGAAGATCCGTCTATTTATTAATCTGCGGACTTAACTCTTGACCGATTGTAATGATGGGCACCGGTCCCGTTTGATTGCCCAACTCGAACATGCATGAGCACCAAGCCCATCATACGAGGCCGTTATCGTCATAGGATGTGGTTCTAATTCCGCTTCGATGGATTTTCCTCAATTTCTGACGTTTATTTCCTTGCCCTAAGTATTCTCAATTGCTTTTCCAGGACACTTCTCGGACGACATGCAAACGATCAAGTGCGTAGTTGTGGGCGACGGCGCCGTCGGTAAAACATGCCTCCTCATATCGTACACTACCAACAAATTCCCTTCAGAATACGTTCCAACAGTGAGTATTTTAGCATCATAACTATACGAACTCTGATTTAAATATATTCTACAAAGATAATTGATATAAAATGTTACATAATTTTTTATTTAAATAATTTAACATTGACTTGAGAATTTCTTCCATGATCCAGTATCCAATACAACATAAAGTCATAAAAATTTCCTTGTGGTGTGTCATCATTTTAAAAGCTCGATCCTTTTAATGAGATAAGCATGATAAATGTGCTTGAGAATCCACTTCAGTCAATACATTATAGAAAAAATATATGTGTACATATTTTTTATTGAATTTTAGGTATTCGACAACTATGCTGTCACTGTCATGATTGGTGGGGAACCATACACTCTTGGACTGTTTGATACGGCTGGTAATTTAAATTTTTTGATGTGATTTACTTAAAAAAAAATTATCGAGATAATAATATGCTATTAACACTAATTTGGCTTTCAGGTCAGGAAGACTACGACAGGTTAAGGCCTCTTAGCTACCCACAAACAGACGTATTTCTTGTGTGTTTCTCTGTTGTGTCACCATCGTCATTTGAAAACGTCAAAGAAAAAGTAAATACATCACAACCAGTCGAGAGGATTTTCTAAATTTAAAATTGTTAACAGTGGGTTCCAGAAATTACACATCATTGTCAAAAGACGCCGTTTTTGTTGGTCGGCACACAGATAGACTTGAGAGACGACGCAGCCACAGTCGAAAAGCTGGCCAAAAACAAGCAGCGACCTGTGTCTTCTGAACAGGGTGAAAAGTTGGCAAAGGAGCTGAAAGCTGTCAAATATGTAGAGTGCTCTGCATTGACCCAGGTTAGTTTCTTGGAAGAAAGATCTTGATAATAAAAGTTTTTGAAGATTGCATATCTCAATTTTTATGTTTGTTATTCTTTGTCCGATGTTATTTCTGAAATTTGGTTTTTCCTTTTGCAGAAAGGGCTGAAGAACGTATTCGACGAGGCAATCCTGGCGGCACTAGAGCCACCAGAGCCCACCAAGCGAAGAAAATGTGTGCTTCTCTAATTTTATAATCCCACTATGTATGAACGGCAAGCAGCTGCAGAGTCACGTACCAGTATGTATTTTCAACTTTTATACCAGCATCGTACGTAAATCGACTCGTCAATTGATTAGTTATTCCTGAACCACCACTGAATGATTTTTTATGATTCGTCTAATATGCCGTGGAAATAAGCGAGTTCATTTTGTACTATTCCAATCAATTGCCGAGCAAAAATCAAGCAACCCAGAAGTTTCAGAATTAAAAAATAGCATCTTATAAAAATACAGTCTGCCGGTTGATAATCAGTTTCTTTCTTCCGTAGCTGTTCATTTGTTTTTAGTGCCTTTGAAATGCCACCTGAATTTACATTTAAATCTAATTATTTCTGAAGAAAACAAGCAAAAAGAGAAACAATGAGAAAAACATGTTAATCATTCCTAACAGTATAATGGAAATTACAAATAATTTTTTAAAAAAGTGCCTCACGCGTTACACTATTACTACTACTACATTTGAAAAATGGTTAAATCCTTGCTCCAAATCTCAAGTGCAACTAATTGACTTTGGCGTACGCCCACGGCACTTGAGATGTGGAACCAGCAGCAGACTGATTCGTCCCTCCAAATTAATTTCCTCGAGCGAATTTTCTTCAAAGTATCGTGTAATTTCAGCTCAAACTAAAAAAGAAAGTGACCCTGACGGAGTCGGCCAAAATCGTGCAACCCAGAATAAAATGATAAAAGACTCGCCTCTCAAATTTCACGTTTTCTAATTGCAATTGCTTCTCGATTCAAAGTTTGTAAATAAGATTTTTACTTTGCAACTAAGATTTGGCTTGCAAGGTCGGTTGTTACTCTTCTCATATCTCAAAACATCCATCGTCTGGTGACAGTGCACGATTTTGCCATTGTGTAAATAATATCAAAATTTTGAGGTGGTACCTACTAATTGGTGATAACTTGAGTATTTTTATGCCGAATTGGGGAGTTTCTAGGTTTAGACAAATTATACATTGAGCTCGAAATTATAAATATTCTCATCATCAAAACCAATAAGGATGAAAACGTAAATCTGTGCATTTTGTTTGCCTCTTTCTTTTGTTATTCAGTGCGTCGCCACCACGGCGGCGCCTGCCCAAGAATTTTTAACTTAAACCTACTCTTAACTTGTCAAACATGCCACAAAATAGTTTAGAAAATAAGAAGAAAAAAATTGAAAAGGTCAATGTCAAATTATGTTTTTGTGGGATTTTGATATGAGGAAAGAGGAATGTAATATTTATTATTGCTTAGTAGCTTTGGCGAGCTCGGCTCCGAGTCCAACTCGCGGGCTCGTCTATTGGTTAAATCAATTTTTCTCGAAAGGAGTGTTGCTTTGGTCGTCAGGTCTTCCTTTTAGTTTGGTGTATTTGTGCCAAAATTTTGGGACAAAACCTCAAAATTGCTAACACGCGCTACTTTCCAATGTGGCAGTTTAAACAAAAAAGTAATTAAGCAATTTATCAAAACTCAAAAACGCGGAATGAAATCCGCAATATGTATTGAGACCCCCTTCTTTCTGTCGCAACACTGCATTTCCTACAATAATTAAAATTGAAAATCGAGAAAATTAAAAAAAAAAAAAAAAAAAAACGCTGTAAAAGGATTGATATCAGCATTATTGTGTATAATAAAAATTGTGAAATAATGTATTCCACCACCCACTAGTTAAATGATAACTTTATAATTAAAATTAACCATGGCCATAATATGTGAACATGCGCATAAGTATGCTTAATTAATAAAATAAAGGCAAAAACATGAATTTGGTATCAATAAAAAAAAACAGTCCCTTTTATTATCTGAAATTACAAAATGTGACACTGCCGCTTTGTCCTTTGTTTTCGGTATTTCAATGCTGCTTTTATCGCCTGGTCAAATACGTGTTTCACCCCGACCTGGAAATTTCCAGATAACAGTATTTAGATATCAAATTATTGCCAGGAACGCAATTGAATTTTTTTTACTTTGATTAAACTATTTTAAATATATTTTCCCTTACCCTTGTGAGCGCGGAGCAGTCTGAGTAGTGGTAAAGCTGCATTTTCTTTTGTGCTTCTTGCGCCTCCGCGTTGGACACGACTTCCATGTTGCTTTCCCGTAACCGCGCTATCGTTTCAATGTCGTTCCGCAGGTCGGCCTTGGTGCCGACCAAAAGAATTGGCGTTCGCGGACAGTAATGTCGCAGTTCAGGTATCCACTGTGGAGAATAAAAGTGTAATAAATTTATGCAAACAAAAATACTTTGTATACTTTGAGTTTCATGTTGACGAAGGAATCTGGAGAGTCAACTGCAAAGCAGACGATGAACACGTCTGTCCGGGGGTAGCTCAGCGGCCTCAGTTTGTCGTAGTCTTCCTCTCCTGATCAAAAATTCAATTTGAAATCAAATTATATGTTGGGGGATGATTTGGTTTTATTTTATAACTATACAAACAAAAATAGTGAATTTATAATCGGCTTTTCTTCAATGGGGGTTTTCAGTTGTTTTTTAGAAGAAGAAATTCCTTCGATAGATAATTTTTGTAAATTATGTAATTTTTCTTTAGACTTACCTGCTGTGTCAAAAAGTCCAATCTTATGGTTTTCCCCGTCGATGACCACATCAGCGGTGTAATTATCAAATATCTGTATGATTAATTAACTACATTGGCGCGAAATTGCATTTTTTTCTATCTCTCACCGTCGGAACATACTCGGTAGGGAATCGGTTTGAAGTATAGGAGATGAGCAGGGACGTCTTCCCGACGGTTCCGTCGCCAACCACGACACATTTTATGGAACGTTCATCTTCAATTGCTATCTGAAAAATTCCAGAATTGTGAAATTTCCTCATTAAATCTTATAAAGGCTCATCTCAAGGCTGCGCTCGGCAAAAACCGCGCGTCACAATTATGGGAGTTTCTCGATAAGATAAATAAATACCAAGACTTAGGAACTATTGCTGACACAATGTAAAAATGATAATCTTTTTAATTAAAAAACACGCATTTGAAAGGAGCTCTATGATTTTGTACGATGAAAATATTTGCAGCCTCTCAAAGGGTCACCATGACCTAAATTGCAGCGCCAAAATAACATGCATTGCTCGGCTGCAAATAAACATAACTCTTACGTGCCAAATTCAAAGCGTCAAAATAGTGTCACTTTTCCAAAATTTAATTTATTAAAAAAAAATATTACCTTGCTGGATGTACTGTTTGCAGCTGAAGCGGTGGATTCAACCCTGGAGACTTTCGAGCTCATTTTTCACACGCTTGATTAATTTTTTTCTCACACAAATCCGATGGATCGACAAATTATTTTTTCAACAAAAAAATCTACAAAACATGTTGGAAAAATTCGGCGTGTGACACTTTAGTCCTAATGAAAAATAGCGCGTTCTGCCCGCAGCTCTCTCGTCGCCTCCAGCTGAGCCGGTTTGGACTCTCGGAATGAGCAGCTCGCGCGTTCACCACGCACACCAGCCGTATCGCTATCTTTCACCTCCACTTTACTTTGCAGCCTTTCTGTGTATATTTGTGTGCATATTTCCGAAGCGCGACCGCCTGTTTCATACTTATACTGACGTTTTCCAAGCCACCTTATCAGAGCGTTTAGGTGTGTGTTCGTTGTGACGTCTGATATGTGTTGAAGTGCAAGGAATGATGAGATCAAATATAATCGCAGACGGAAATAAATCCTTTTAAAAATTTGTAAAATTTCCTGAAAAATTATTCATATTTAAAACAAAAATATTCGAGGTAAATGAGTGAAAAAAATGCATGCTCATTTTAATTAATAATTTAATAACTGAATAATCAATTTTTTTTCTCCAAATTTTTTGATCCTTTATAGTCTAACAAAGTGTGTAACTATACTTTTTTTAAATTTTACCAAAAATGAAAACTTGACCAAAAACCTTCTTCTCCACAACAGCGGATTTTTAAAAGGACTCACAACAGTGGCATCGCTAACGAACGTGAAATTCGGTAAAATTATCACAGAAAAGAATTTTGCGGCAATATCTAAAAAAAAAGGATTTTGTATTAAACGCTTTTGCGTACAACTAGGGTGCAATGCAAACACCCTTCTCAACACGAAATCCTGCGGCCCCCGGCCGACTTTCAACCCTTCACTCGCAGTCCCAGCATTAGAAATCACTCAGGTTCCCCCGAGAAAAATCCGCCTGGAGTGGGAATCGAACCCACAATCTCCGGGATGGAGGGCAAGAGCATACTCCACTTAGCCACTAATTTTGCAGGCTATACAATTTTTCCCCTCGCGCCAAACGCATTTGAAATACACGTGAAATGTGGGCGTGGCAGTGCCGTGCCTGTTTTATTTTGCGGATCCTTCAATAAGCTGGTAATTTCCGTTTGCTTTTGCGTTCTTTTATTGCAGTTAATTACATTTTCTTGGTTCAAAGATACAGTACACCGCACCGCACAATGCTAAGGCCAACAACTTTTGCAACGAAAATCAGGTATCCGTTGATTTTCGGCACTTTCCTCGCCACTTTTTACCTCGGATTTGCTAACCGGTAAACAAAATCACATTGTTTTCGCCGCCTTCTTACGTAATGAATAATATTAATTGACAGGCATTTACTGATTGGAGATTTGGAAAAGGAGAAATCGGCGATGATTAAAGACACACTTGAAAACAAGAATTTTCTAGAAGCTAACATTGCTGAAATCAACGCTGCCAGGAAAAATAAATAAGAAAATATTCAAAATACTTAAAGTGCAAGAATTTTGCATTGGAAAAGACTGATTTGAAGTCCAAAGGCAGCTTCGTTAAATGTAATAAATAAAAATGTTTTAAAAGAGAATTCAAATTCAAAAAATGCATTTTAACTGTGCAAAGAATGCATCAATTTTTCGAATTTTTCCAATTTTTTCAGGAACTCCATATTACTCCAGGCGCTGATTCAGATTTTTGGAAGTTGATTAATTTGGCGCCGCTGGCCACGCCCCCTTTGTTTAACGCGCTGGCAAGTATGGCGACGTAGACCAAGTCCATCTTCTGTTGGCGAACTTTTCCAACGAAATGCCGTGCTCGACCTAGCTTTTCCGCAAGGACAACAGTATGAAAAAATCGTCCGAGGTCGCAGCCATGCTTTGAAACCAATCTTGCTACCCTGAAGTGCCAACAGCCAAACTGCGGCTGCTCCCGAGCTATACCTGTACACTCTGCTCACCATGATTCGCATTCACTTCTTCCCGAAAAGCTTCCGACTGGTGCTCTTCTGTGCGATGGCGAATTTTATCAACGCCGCCGACAGAGTCATCATGCCGATTGCGATCATCCAAATGACAGACGAATTTAAATGGTCCCTGCACCTTCAGGGATGGATATTATCTGCATTTTCAATTGGCTACTTTGCTAGGTAAAAAAATTATTTTAATTAAAAAAAAATTAGCTTCATTGTTCTTTCTGTACATTGCAGTCAGCTTGCTGGAGCTTTTATGTTTGGAGGCTACGGTGGCAGAACTCTGCTTATATTCTCAGTTCTCTTGTGGTCACTATCGACTGTTTTGACGCCTTTGATCGCTTCATCATCAATCGCTGCTCTCATCTTCTTCCGAATCCTCTTAGGCATTGGGGAAGGATTAGGTACGATTTTTTTTTGCATAATGAAATGAAAATTTTAAATTTTTTTAATATTGCAGGGCTTCCAACAATTTACCATATTTTAGCATTAACTGTTCCTGAGGAGGAGAGATCAAGAGCATTTGCTTATTTAGTTGCTGCTGGATCTGTCGGACAGACTGTTGCATCCGTTGTGAGTTATTATATTTATCATGCATTTTTTGGAGACACCAAATATTTTGATTGATTTATATTTTTATTTGTAAAATATCTAACATTGTTGTGGGTTCATTTTTTTAAATTTAAAATTGAAGTCATTAATTTTTAGAACCTAGTCTTTCTATTAATTTTGTTTCGTTCAGATTTGCCCTCACATGCACTGGTCCTCGTCTTTCTACATTTTCGGTCTGGCTGGCTTCGCGTGGGTTATCTTATGGATGTGCAGCATGGGTTCCTTGACGAACAATCTGCACATACCTCTGTATAGGGACCAGAAGCAGTCTACCTACTCTGGCTGGGCGCTGCTGAGTAGTTGGGCCCTCTGGAGCATTTATCTGGCACATTTCGCCATGAACTGGAACAGCTACATTGTGATGCAGTGGCTGCCCACCTATCTGCTGCGCTCTCTTGGGGCAGACAAGGAGAATATCAGCTTTACAGCTGTGCCTTACATCTTCAATTCTATTCTTGCCATAGGTAAATAATTATTTATAAATTTATCATCTTAAATAGTGGATACAAAAAAAAAACTAGTCGAGGGTGCGCTAAATATTTAAGAGCCCCAAATTAAAAAAAGAAACCATTTGATTGGTTGACATTTAAATCCATTTTTATTTTTCTACTTATGTGTTTAATTTTTCATAGTTGCTGGCCACTTTGCCGATAAATTGGTTTCGAAAGGCTGGAGTTTGCTCAAAGTGCGAAGACTTATGACCAGCATAGGTCTGGTGGGCCCAGCATTTTTCCTAATAGCCTTCTGCGCTGTCAACAATTTAGCCGCTGCTGTGGTGTAAGTCAATGAAAATTTTAAAAACAAAATATTAAGTTTAATTTCCTCTCTTTAAACAGACTGGTGTCAATTTCAATGGGACTGTGCGCATTCAATTCTGCAGGCCACTTGAGTAACCATGCTGATGTGGCACCAGAACATGCCGGCGCAACTTTTGCGCTTTCAAACACATTGGTAAAACAAAACAAAAATTAGAATTATGCAAAATAAATTTTACTAATTGACCCAATTGTAGGCCACCATTCCGGGCATTTTGTGCGGTCCCCTAACTGCCGAGTTGGTGACGGCGTCACGCGGCAGGTGGTTGCCCGTGTTTGTACTGGCCGCCGGAATCAACTTCACCTCGGCCATAATTTACCAAAGCCAAAGTTCCGCCTCACCCGTCTTGTAGATAGAGCGGGCTGCTTTCAGTGAGATTTTGCAAGCTGCACGTGAGCTTCCAGGTATTTATGTGAATTGTCAAGTGCTGACTCTTCGATTATTTGTTGACACTCAGTGCTTCAACCTTGATTTAAGCGATGTGATTTGAATCTTTGCTGTTTGTGGCTAAGGTTTTGTTGACAGCAGATGAGTGTGTATTTGAAAATACTTTGACTTTTCTGTTAGGATGCTAGATTTTAAAAGAGACAGAGCTGTCAAGCAGGTTGATATTTAAAATTTTCAAACTATTTCCAAACTTTGAGATCTAAATAATTTACTTTCTTTATTTGCAAGTTTGTAAATCATTCACAAAAAGGGAGTTTGGCTGTGTACGATTCCTGACGTAGTTGCAATTTTGGGAAATTTTTGAACCAACTTGTCACCAGATTTGGTGTGTTGTGTAAATTTTACTAGAGAAACTATTCTAAATATAGTATCACTCCTACGTGTATAACGAATTTAAAGCAAAAATTAAATGGAAAAAAATATTCTAAAAACAAATATCAATAATGTCAGTCATTTTAGTCTCTCTTGATCCTGATGCTGACTAGAAACAGTAAAATGAGAGGCATCGACGAGGCCGTGAAAAGAATTGTTGCCAGTATCGGTCGAAGGGAAGCCCAAGTGAAGCCAATGATGCACATGGAGGTGCTAGTAGAAAGACAAAGATTTACAGATGTTATGTGTCTCGTCAGCACTTGCATCGGCACCAGTTCGATTCCTTTAAATAATTGTCGATGTAGAAACTTAAATTCCATTTCAATTTTTAATACCTCCTATGGAGCACTTGCTTCTTGAAAATCTTTTGAGCAATGGGGTCAGAAAACTAGAACCGACGAAAAGAACCAGAGAGCAGGCGCCCCTCACTATCCACGAAAGCAGCCAGTGTTGTTTATGGTGCTCCAAGTAAAAGTCCTTGGGTGAGTGTTGCCCATGTCGGAAAATGAGAATTTTGTCTCCGTGGGTTGTGATGTACGGGTGCAATTCATGATCAACTTGCATTGCAATTATTGTCACCTAAATACAGATTGTAATAATTTTTAAACAGTCTAGAATAATTTTTACCACTTCTCCAGCAAGCCCCGAATATGAAAACTGGACTCTTGTATCTCCGACTTTTGGGTTCCACACATCTTGGCTGTGGTAGTACAATCCGGAGTGCAGCTTGATGTCACGATTTTCAGGCCTCTCATCGCTTGTGAATAACTCAAAGTCGGTGAACAAGTCTTTCAGGGCATCGCTGAAGTAGTACGCGCCTACATTCACTTGGTCGCTGACGTAAATTTTCGTCTTCAGAGGAATCTCTCTAAAGAAATGAGAAACCGCAGGATGTATTTTTCTGGGCCAAAATAGAATTAAATTATTCAACCTTGGATTCTCGTGCCCAAAGGGCTGTGCAAATCGCGTGTGATCATTTAATTTGTCTCGCCACTCTGTGTAGTAAAACAGTCCATCTTGGTGTACGTCAAACTCCTCTGGAAATTCCCTAAAAAAATTTGTTAGAGTTTAATTTCTTTCTTTCTATATAATTTTTACTAAACCTCAAAGTTCTTTCTTCCACCCATTGGTACATTTGCACCCGACGTTTCAGCTTTACGGCGGAAATTAATACTCCATACTCGAATTCTGTCAAAGGCTCGCCGACTTGAATGTATCCAACCAAGTGGATCAATTTTCCATTGTTTTCGGGAAGAATCTGATTTTCATTTTGAATTAAAACTATCGAATCGAACCCTTCGTTCAGTGATTTAGTTTTTGTCAAGAGTCGTGCCTGAAAGAAGAAATGAGAATTCCCGTGGTTCGAATAAGTAATTTATTTGTAATAATTTAAACTCGCCTCGCTCCACATTAAAATTGCAAAACCAAAAGCGAAGAACAAGCAGCCGCAAATAATATGAAACCATCTATTTTTAATCTTTGAATTAACTTGCACATCCTCTTGGCGGTAAGTGTGCCCGTTAACTTGATGCAGTCTCTGAAAATTAGACATTTAAAATTTTCAAATAAATATAAATCCAATGATGCGGAATTGATTAAAAAATTTCATCTCGCGATTCTTACATTGTATCCCACGTTCCTCCTCATATTGCAAAATTTGGAAAGTTATCCTGGCGTGCAGTAATTTTGATATCAAGCGAATTTATCAAAAAGCTTTAGTGTCGGCGTAACACATGGGAACAACGGAATCAAAACATCAAGGATTCTGCGCTCTTTTGCCTTTCTCGGCGGAACGGATCAATAAAACGAGTCGCGCTCTCCCCATAATATTACAGCCAGAGAGTAATCTAGGCTCATAATTTCCGCGCAATACAAACACAAACAGACTGGGAACAATACATCCAATTATGAAAGAAGATTTTTAATATTATTATGTATATAGTAACATGTTAGAAATCGATAAAGCTTTCTGTTGAATAATTGTATAGAATATTTGGAATATTTTAATGGGAAGAAGTTTCTCATTAACCGGTTCATCTCAGTTTTTGTGAAAGCTCACATAAATGTAAATTTTATCAAACTTTGATTTGATTAATTTCACTAACAAAACAAAGTTTATTTCTCGCAGTGCAATTAAATGCGAAAGTATGTATCCACGTGGCGTTTGCTGTTCGCCGACGTTCGCGCCGTGCACTTGAGAATTGAGAAGTTTATTTTCTCGCCGGAGGCGGCGACTCTGCTTTCTTTTTCATCGGGTATTTTCTCCAGGTGCTCGTCCGCGCTAATGAATCAGCCGGCTTTGATTGGTCGCAAAGCAACACAAAACTCACTCAAACACCGACTCCTGATTAACATGTAAACAGAGCAGCCGCGACCACCGAGTCGACTGATTACAGAAAAGGCGAGTATCAAAACCACTTTGTGAGACTAGTTCGGGGTATTTTCCCCTTTTGCGGCGAAACGTTCGAACGCGACAAGTTTTCTGACAGCTGCGGTGACAAGTCGAAATTAGTTTTGCGTGAGTTTTCATTGAAATTCGCTCAATTGCGACGCGATTCGGGCACGTGAGTCGGGATGATTTGGCGGAATTTCGATAGATTTGTATTTATTTGGTTATGTAAGAGTCTTATCTTGAGTCTGCGATTAGATCTCAAGTTTCCAAAACCCACTATAAATTTTATACTTATATTATATTTCTTTATTTGATGAATATGAATTGGAAAATATTACACAGTGCAGAAAATTTATTCCCTACCTATTCTGACGGGCTTAGTTTTTAATGAAAAAATATTTTAACCTTATTTGAAATTTTTAAATTTCAGAAGCTCCCATTACATAAAAATTTCATAAATTTTCCAAAAAAATTCAACAAATAAATTTGTTTATTTAAATTAAAATCAATAAAAAAGGCTGCTGATTTAATTTTGTTAAAACTTTCAGCTTGCTCAATTTTGTAATAAAATTGTAGCTAGATAAATTTTTACTAAATTAAAAAAAGAAAGCGTTCGCGAAATATTTCAATTATTTATTGTATATAGAGATAAGCATGAAACTCATTTCATATTGAAAATACAAAAAATTCAACAACAAAAATAATAGAAATAACTGCAAGAGGAAAAGCGTTAAAATTATTGAATTAATCTTTAAGATAAATAAAGATGACTGATTAAAAATAAATTTAAGTAATTATTTATCTTTAAAAGAATATTTTACATATTGATTCTTACTGGATTCTTATAAAAATATTGAAGAGGAAATTCCGTCAAAAAAATAAAAATTTAGCTTTTATCTTGTAACATAAATCCATCAGATAATGGAAAGTTTGGTGTGACTTTTATCATTCCGCAAAATAAATATCTTGTATGATGCAAAAGCACAAAAACTGATCCCACGGAGCATTCAAAAGCGCGACCCATTCTGGCCGGTTGTTTGAACCGCGAGAATCCCCGCCTCGGGCTTTAATTTACTTTTGTCTTGACCCATATTAGAACTTCGTGCTCGCACTTTTATTCGCAGACCGTAATAATAATATATATTATAATGTTGGTCAGCGACTATCGGCGCAGGTGTTCGTTCGTTCACTCGACTTTTCTCATTGCCTTGTGCATTTTTAGGCCTCCTTTTTCGCCTCTTTTTAATCACACACGATTAATTAGCCATTCCGATACTTATATTGTCAGCCGTGAAATTACAAGTCCTCAACAACGTTTAAGGACCGATTTTCTTGTTCACCAGAGGGCTTCTGAATTGAATGGACCGTTTTCAGTTGTCAATTAAGCCGATTCAAAAGAATATCTCAATCAGAGCAAACCCCCTTGAGCATAATAATATAATGTGGGCCGATAAAGAACGCGCGGTTTCAATGAGAAAATAATTTATATAATGCATTTAATGACATAATGCTGCTTATTTCACAGGTGCACACAGCAGTGTGTGCTAACAATTGCAGCAATAAAATTAAACCAATTTTTTTAAGTGAATTTTTAATATTTTGCTGCTATGTTATTACACATTTATTATAAAATTCACTAATTTAAGAATTCTAAAAAATTTTGAATAAGAATATGATTAATTAAATTAAAATTTAATAAATTTTTTAAATGATAACTATTTTTTTTTAGAATTTTTAATATTTTTTGCTGACATTTTATTACATATTCAAATTCTCACTAATTGAACAAATCTAAGAAAATGTGACTAAAACTAAATATCAAAATGTCATCAATTTTTAGCTTTCCGGCCGACAACTTTTATGTTCGGTTTTATTACGCGCGGCAAGTAAGAATTGACAGTAATTGCTCCAGACCGCGAAAAAAAATCGTGTAAACTCACTGCCTCCTGGCACACAGCACCAACAATAATTATTTACGGTACAATCACCAAAACACGAACCTGTCAAGAAAAGTTGTTTAACTTAATTTTCCTATAATTACTGTTTGTAACTTAATAAAACTCCAAATTGTTATATCCTGAGAATTATATAATATGAAGTACAATTTTTGCACCGACATTGAACAGCAAACATTTCCTAATGCTATTAATATCTTATCACAAAGCAAATTAAATTACCTAGAGCGAGTGAAGTAATTTAATTATATTGTTTCAATTCAAAGAGTGGCATGATTTTTTTGCTTTTTCGCGGAATTATTTCTTATCAGTTAATAATAGTGGTGTTTTGACGTCACATTCCAATGCGTGCTTGTGTAGCAAAGTTGAAGAATCTTGAAAATAAAAGTTATCCAATATATAAAGTTCTGATCCTTAATTAGAAGTTGTCGCTCCGAGAATTTCGAAAATTTCTTGTGAAGCATGTAAGTGTCAGGATGGCCGAGCGGTCTAAGGCGCTGCGTTCAGGTCGCAGTCTGGTTCTCCAGGCGTGGGTTCGAATCCCACTTCTGACAAATCTTTTTGCACTTTAATTAATCAATGACTAAATCGATTTAACCAAACTCATTGAAATGGGTTCAATTTAATTTAAATGGATCAATTAGTTGCACGATATTATTCCGAAGCTCTAAAATAAGTTTTATAATTATAGTTTTTTTAAATCAAATAAATACATAATTATGTCTAATTTATTAAGAAATTTAGGCTTTTCTTAAAATGGCTAAAAATTTTCATCTTAAAATATTAATTTAATTAACTCCATTCACTTTTTCCAACAATATTTTTATTCTTTTATTCTTTTGATCTTATCTTGATCCAATAAATATCGTTTATTAAAATTAATCACTATGTCATTTACCAACTCACACCTGCCAAATTAATTACACAACGTGTTTGGCAATCAACGCTTCCTATGGAAATCACGTTGGATAACTTCCGAATGTGAAATGAGTTTCTCTTCTTTTATTTTGGCTGCGATTGTGTCTGAATTGTACTGATATGGAAATAACATTATGCAACCCAAAATTTATCTCATTCCGCCCTTCCCTCTGTGCAGACTCGAAGTCCCCCACTGACGCATTCTTCTCTGGCTGCAGCTCCGAGTGAGACCATCCGGCACTCAATCGACGGACGACCACCACCTCAAGAGCAACCATGGGCTCCAAAGAAGGTAAAAACCAATTGAACCGCATTTTTGTTTGAAATTTAAACTCGTCTGGTATTTTTACAAAAGCCAAACTTTCGCCAAATCGCGCTTGTGTGAAAACGACATGGTAGATCAAGTTTAAATTATTTTTTTGTATACCTGAAGAACTTTCTCTCCTGCTCCAATTCACTTGTGCCGCTCTTTATTTGAGTTGCGCTTATTGTTTCAGCCCGCATAATATACCGGTGGTTACTTCACCGGGTTGATTGACAGGGAAAATTGCTGTAATTTTATTGATCAATCAGACAATCAAACAGCAATTTTGGGGAAATAAATAATTGAGCAATTTCTGGTGCATATTAAAAATATTATTCGCCGGTTATAACAAAGTTAATGATCTCAAAAGAAGTGAGAGTTTAAATTCAGTCATTAAATTCAACACCTGTGATCACAGAACTTCAGTTAGTTTTTTATTTCAACTACGGTCTAAATAATTCATGATAATCAGCAATTACGACAATTACCATAAATTTTAAATTTCTCTCCAGCCTCTCAGATGTAAAGAATGGTGCCAAATGTAAATTTTGTGTAATTTGCTCCTTTACATACTCTCTGATTTCTCTTTCCGCACAAAACTCAATTATCGCGTGAAAAGCAATCGTTTCAATTTTTAATGAAGAAAAAAACAATTATTTTTAAAAACGTGAGACAGATAAGACCCTCTGGTCAATCTCAAGAGGCTCTCAAATTTTAAATCGTTTGCCAGATTAATTGCCCTAAAGGTAGAGTTTCCAATTAAATACATTTTATATTTCTCTCATCAAGATCAAACTCGCCCACCTTCGATCTGGACACGGCAATTAAAAATCATATTTCCAACCAAAAGCAGAAAGGTCGACCTTTGTTTGCCCTTTGCACCTATCACGAGATGCAGACTGACCTTGGTCCGTATCAAACCCAACTCACTTTTGTGCGACCGGCGTTATTTGCGATATATACCCCATGATAGTGTGAAGCGAATGCTAAGATTTATTGCACTCTCTATGTGTACCAAACTGCCGAGGTCAGCGAGCGTGCACTCTTGCACCGCGCGATTGGAATTGGAGGAATCTAAAGATTTTTAGATGAAAAATAATCAGATGAACCCACAAACAGCACATTAAAATCAACTTGTTTTTTAAATTCTAATGAGAACTAAATAAAAAGAAAAAAATTTTATTTTAAATCTTAAATAAGTATCATTAATTAATGCAATGCTGATTAAACTTTTATTTAATCATTCTCAGAGTTTATTTCCTAAAAATATTTGTAAAAAAAAAATGCATAATTGTATTCAAATATTAAAAAATAAATACTTTTTACAATATTCGCAGTCAATTTAAAACAAAAACCTGCTGCATTTATTTGATTTATTCATTTGTTTCATAATATTTCATTTTACGTATTTTTCTTATTTGTTAAAATAAAACAAATATATTAGTTCATTAACTTGTCAAGCCTCAAGAAATAAACACTCGCCTTTTTCTTCTTACTAACATATAACAAAAATAATGCAGTCTTCAGTCGACATAGAAAAATTAACGCCTGCAGTCTAAAATTGCAAATCACAAAACCTCGGTTTTTGCTCCCAAGTTTGTGTCATGTCATTCAGTGCCCTTGACGTGCAAAAATAATATAAGGATGACTATGTGCAAATCATATGCACACCATTCCTCCGACGCCATCCGTCTCTAACGCATCTACCTCTGCTTCCAGTAAACCCAGATCTCAGTCCTGAGGACAGCTTGGTGCTGATCAGGCGGTCCCTCAAGTCTGCAAACATGGCTCCAGGTACCCACTTTGACGGGAACATCCCCCACATCTTTGTTACCATGGGCGCCTCTGTGAGTTTTACCATTTTTATAACGGAATGATTTGCAATATTTTTTCGCTCGTATTTCCCCAGGGAGACCTGGCCAAGAAGAAGATCTACCCAACCCTGTGGTGGCTCTTCAGAGACAACCTGCTGCCCAACAACACCATTTTTTTCGGCTACGCGCGCTCTAAGCTGACCATTCCCGAACTGAGGGCCAAGTGCGATACCTGGATGAAGGTTTGTCATTAAATTTAATTAAATTAAATTATTTAAAATTTGGTTTCCCAGGTCAGGGCTGGTGAAGAGGCGCGCTATGAAGAGTTCTGGAAGCTGAATTTCTACGTGGCCGGCTCGTACGACACTAGACGTGACTTTGAGATTCTGAACCAGGAAATGGAAAAGCACGAAAGAGGTCCGACTTCCAACAGATTGTTTTACCTTGCTTTGCCGCCGTCCGTTTTCAAGCCGGTCAATGTCCACATCAAGAACGCTTGCATGAGCACCAAGTAAGCATATTGAAAAATTTGATTTCAATATAAAAATGAATTAATTACCTTTTTGCCCTTTTGCAGAGGCTGGACTAGAGTGATTATAGAGAAGCCGTTCGGTCGAGATGCTGACTCATCTAAGGAGCTTTCAGACCATTTGGCGTCTCTCTTCAAGGAAGAGCAAATTTACAGAATTGATCATTATCTTGGAAAGGAGATGGTGCAGAATTTGATCACGCTGAGGTACTGAGAAAAATATTTGATATTTTATATATTTTTTGCTATAATAAAATTTAAAATTTGATCAACAGATTTGGAAACCGCATTTTTAACCCAACTTGGAACAGAGACAACATTGCATCCGTCCTGATCTCCTTCAAAGAGCCGTTTGGCACTCAAGGGAGAGGTGGCTACTTTGACGAATTTGGTATCATTCGTGATGTCATGCAAAATCATCTCCTGCAAATCTTTTGCCTTGTTGCCATGGAAAAGCCTGCCTCTGTCCATCCAGATGACATTCGCTATGAAAAGGTATATTTTAAAACAAGAATTTTTCAAATTAAAAATAATAATATAACCTCTTAGGTTAAAGTCCTGAAGCAAGTTGACCCTCTGAAACTGGAAAGTTGCATCCTTGGCCAGTATGTCGGTGACCCAGAAGGCGAAGGAGATGCCAAGTTGGGGTATTTAGACGACAAGACTGTGCCTGAAGGATCTGTTACCCCAACCTACGCTCTCTCGGTGCTTAAAATCAAGAATGAGCGGTGGGACGGGGTGCCGTTCATCCTGCGCTGTGGAAAAGGTAACAAACATTAAACCTTCAGCACAAACAATTATCATCTGTATATTTATCTGCATTGTTTTCCATTTAGTAATCAATCAATACCAAGAAAATAATACAATTGTTAAATAAGGAGAGAGAAAATAACTAAAAATATATTTTTGATTACACTTTTTGATTGCTATTGAAACTTTTATCCGTAAAAAGCTAATTAAATTATATTGATAAAATATTTGTTTTTTTCCAGCCCTTAATGAGAGAAAGGCAGAGGTGCGCATTCAGTTCAAGGACGTTCCAGGAGACATCTTCCACGGAAAGCCAAAGCGAAATGAGTTGGTGATGCGAGTGCAGCCTGGTGAGGCTGTCTATGTGAAGCTGATGACCAAGTCGCCGGGCATGAGCTTTGACATGGAGGAAACAGAGCTTGACCTCAGCTACCACAGCCGCTACGGGGACGTCAAGATGCCGGACGCCTACGAACGCCTTTTGCTGGACGTATTTTGCGGCATGCAAATGCACTTTGTCAGTTCGGACGAATTGTCCGAGGCATGGCGCATCTTCACCCCTCTTCTTCACCAGATTGAAGGTGAAAAGGTGGTGCCCATCAAGTACAAATACGGCTCCAGAGGTCCCAAGGAGGCTGACGAAATGTGCTCGTCCAACGACTTCAAATACTACGGTTCCTACAAGTGGGTCCAGCCGAAGTGTTAATTTTTGAGATTTTTCCGAGAGAGCATAATTTTTGCTACTTACGCTTCATGGCACTCAAGTGCATTATATAATTATTTTACTCCAAATCTTCAGCTGCATTGATGAAATCCTAATGTTACGATTTTTCTTGGAATAATTGGCAATATCTTTTTAGAGCTTTAATTTTAAAACTTTGTGCGTCTCTCTATCTCTCTCTTGGAAAACTCTCTTACGGTTTCTGTGATTCTCCACATGAAAGCAAAACCATCTGAAGCATTCCTGTTTCTGTTGTAAATTGCCTATTGTGTCTTCTAATAATTATTGTAAGTATGGGAATAGGCTCGGGCCAATTTTGGAAGTCTTGTTAGGTTGAATTTAAGTGTTGAGTATTTTTTTTGCACTATTTTTGTATTGCATAATATATTAATAAATTATGATGAGTAGCATTGATACATTATCTGCCAGCAATAAAACATAAATAATACTCTTTGAAAAAATATTTTGCACACATTTTTTAAGATATCACTGTAAATTATAAAACCTTTCATAATTATTATGTTGATTCAATTAAAAATGTCATTATTTATTTATTAATGATTTTGCTGACAACTTAGAATTATGAAAAGTTCCAGCTTTAAAGGCGCCTTGCCTTCAGTTTATTAATTATTTATATTATGCCCTTTTTTGAACTGTTTTGTTCGTCGCGAGAAAAAGTCCTCCTATGTAATTTAATAATTTTTTACATGGAAAAAGACAAGTGGCGCGCAGTGCCCTTTTATCAGGAAAACTGAGTGCTGGTTGTCAATCTATCTGGCACATCCGCTACATAAAAAATTGTCCTGTGGCTCAAATAAGCCATTTCATTTTCCTCGCGCTTCCAGCTTCCAAGAAATCTCAAGAAATTGAAGCGACTTTGATGATTTTGGCGATGGACGATTGACGAAACACTTTTAAAAATTCTCAGTCTCTATTTGTTCAAAATTAAATTAAATCACGCTTTCTTTTTGCTTAGTTATTTACGGCTGAGCGCTGAACCCTTGACTTTCAATATTATGTAAAAAAAAAAAAAAATCGCGGTCCCAACTAACTTATTTCTTTTTTTGCGTTATAGTTTATTTTTATCGCAGACAGAATAAAAATCCTATTTTCTTCAAAAATATTTTACTAAATTATAATATTATCAAATATTTGGTCTTGCACAATAAAAACGGAAATAGAAATAAATTTATAGTAGGCTTCTGCTGGAAAATGTTCATTTCCTTTCCCCACATTGTCAGGAAAGGTGCCTTTTGTAAGATAATCTCTTTTTGATGGCTAAAGAGTGTGCGATGAGTCACGCTTAGATGTGCATTCCGCAGCTGCGTCGCCACTTCTCATATTTTTTCCGCTTCCACCAGCAGGCAGACAATGTACCCTGATAAGCAGCATAGGGAGAAAGAGAGGTAGGACGAATTTTTAGGAGGGTTCGGCTCGGCTGGCTGCTGACAGTGCTGACTCGCGGACGCAGCAGCATTTTAGTTTAGTTGAGTATTGGAGGTGAAACTGAAAGGACGCTTCCGCTTCTTCATTCTTCAGTGCTTCTCGAAGTTAACTTTTGCTTTATTCGATCATCATTTTTAATCGCGCGGGCTGATTTCTGCAGCTGAAGTGGAATTTGGAAATTCCGAAAATACTGACTGCTCGATGCTAGCCGCTAATTTGGTAACTCGTCGTAAGTGCAGATCAAAATTTATTTCATTGTTATTTCATTTTTTCACGATGGCTCCAGTGTTATTAAAATTACGAAGAATTGCGGATGTGGATGTGGATGTCAGAATTATAAGAATTTATTTATTGATTCATGATAATTATAATATACCATCTGCAAACCTCCAGTTGTGTAACACTGAAGATTTCCGTATATTTGAGTAGCGCGTTTGCTAAAAATATTTTAATTAATTTTTAGGCTGGAAACCAATATAAAAACGTTCGCACATTCATATAATTAAATTAATTTAGCTTTCGCAATTCCACCTAAATCATTGAATTAGTTCGGTGCCTTTAATTTCTGTGTCATTTTTTTTGAATTTTTTTTTATATTATTTTGATTATTTTGATGACCTCATCTTTTGGCGACTATAACAGACACGCACGCTTGAATTTTTTTGATTACGCTAGCTTTTTTACTGCTAATTGAATGAAAGAAGTACCGGAAAGTATAGCGTATAATAAAATAACACGTTCAGATTAATCAGATTATTTTTGTCTTCATAATTTGATCAGTAGAAAAAAATTGAGAAATAACTGGAAATAATTTAAAAAATATCCTTATATCGATTATTTTGGATTAATTAATAAAATGTATCAATAAAATTATAAATAAACCAAAATAAATACACACACTTAATAACTAGTAAAAAAAACAAGTCCCTTTTCCCACTCATTGTCAACTGGTTGTCAACAGCCCCATGGTAGAATCCCGTAAATCCTTATGCCGCCCTTTTCACGAGTGCACGCATGCGCTCGTTTCGCATCTTCCTACTTTCCCTCCCATCCCATGCTCGACAACAAAACATTAGGCAAGAAGAGCACACAGAAAACGAGCTGAAAAAATTAAACGCAAATAAATCTCTTTTTGAGGACTGCGTCGCCCGTTTCAGGGTCTGTGAGATGAGCAGAGATTTATAATCCAACTATCGTGAGTGATAATGAAAATCTGATTAAACACTTTAAGAGGTCAAGTCCCCGTTAAGTAAAAGATTTCTCTTTCTGGAACAATCAAGGTTATTTTTTTCTGAAGCTATGGTACATAATCCATTTTCATGATTGGTTCTTTTTAATATTATTTTTTGGTGCTTTCCTGATGTTGATAAGGACATTGATAGTGGTAGTTTTCATTACTCTTGTTATCTCAAATCTTGAGGTTGTAAATTTCGGAGAGCGGAACTCAAGTTTAATATGAATATTTCAGCTGCCAAAGGATCCGAGCGTTTGGGCAGAATGACAACCGAAGTAGTGCAACAGGATGACGTCATTTACAGACTGAACAAGAGGTTTGTCCGCGAGGATGCTGCCATCATACAGGACGTAGCTGCAAGCTGCGGCTATGACTGTACGTAAAACCATACAAACAAATTTAGCCTGTTGCTCTTTATCTTATCGTCACTCTGATTCTGTATACTTAAAAAATTGCAGATGACAAGTCGTTCCAAGCTCTTTCCGATTTGTTTGGCCAAAGCACATCTTGTCTCAGCGGGGACGTAGCTGATCCCATTTCTCTGTTAGACAAAAACACCAATTTGGGCAACTTGGCCAACTTCTGTGACAAAACGATTGAAGCGAGGGCCACATCGGAAGACCAGCAGACGGTGCCGGAAATGCGTCTGACCAACTGCAACACTGCTGACCAGAAAGTGCCCAATGGGCCTTTAAGTCAGCCTATGTGGGTCAGCAACACGGGGCCCAAACCTAACACCGGGGCCATCAGAAAGAGCAATGTTAATCAGAAACGTAATATTTTTTTCCTGGTCTTTTTATTTTTTTATCTGACGGCTTAATTAATTTTGTTTTATTATTAACAGATCGGAGACCACCTAAAGAGTCCGTAAACAAACCAGTTGTTGAAAAAATAAAGCGGATGTTAATGGAGCGGTGGCTGGTGCTTGTTATATTAAGAGGTCTTCCAGGGAGTGGAAAAACCTATTTATCAAAAGAGTGAATTTGCCATTTATTTTAAAATTTGTTTTTACTTAATCCTTCTCTTATGCAGGTTATCTGAAATGGCAGAAGAAAACAGTTTTGTTTATCGTATTTGCAGTGCAGATCATCATTTTCACACTCCTAAAGGTTACGTTTTTAACGCCTCAGAACTCCCAGTAGCTCACAGTGCATCCCAGCAAAATGCTAAGAAGGCATTTAATGAGAAAACTCAGCTGGTCATTATAGACAACACCAATATAATGGTAAGGTTTGAAATAACATCATTGTAATAGAGTTTTAGTAACATTTTCCTTTTTGGCAGGAATGGGAGATGAAACCATATTTTATCGAAAGTGTCAAATTTGGTTATCATATTGAAATTTTGGAGCCATTAACCCCTTGGAGGGATAATATAGGACAATTAAGAAGTAAAAATGTTCATAATGTTCCTGATAGAAGCTTGAGAAACATGCAGGACAAATATAAGGTTGGTTTATAAATTAAATTAACAATCAAACAGAAATTAATTGATTTTTTTTAGAAATACTCTGCTTTTGAATTACTGCAACTTTTCCAATTGCCGAGATCAGGCCAGAAAGTTTTATCCCTAGTAGCAGCACCTCCACCTATGCTACCGCCTGCCGTACTGGACCCAATTCCGAATCCTACTTCCGAACAACAGCAAACCATGAACACCCAGGAGACTAAGTCTGGAGGTGTGCAGATTTTAGAACTCAATCCTACCGAAGAGAAAATTGAAGTTCCTGAAGAAACCTGCCAGCCTATGTCGGATGACGAAGAGGAGATAATTGATTACGAAGGCGTCCCTGAATCTGCTCGGGAATTTTACAAAAACCTGCCTGAAGTTTACCCTGACTTCAATGCTAAAGTTTTGAGGGATCTCCTTCGTGAATGCCACTTTGACCAGGAGTACTTTTTCGACGCAGTGGAAAACTCAACTCGTCTCTTAGAAAAGGGGACCAACATCAGCAAGAAGCCTCTCGTTACTCCTATAGTAAAAGAGGTCCGCGCACCAACAACCTCCCCATTGGCAGAAGTACCACAGATGCCTAAAAAGTCACCCGCAGAACCAACGCCTGAGTCTTTGGAGTTGAAACGGGCGCTGGAGGAGAAATTTGTCATCCCCAAAAATCAAGAGCCAAACGTTCCACACCAGGTATTAGTTCGTAAAATATTTTTTTCTCGACTCACTTATTTAAAAATTCAGCCACCTATTGAAAATGAGACCTCTCTTGATGACGATGACACCGAATCGCAAACCGAAAGTTCGTCTAGTGAAGAGGAGGAGATTGAGATGACACTGGACAGGAATTTTGCTCAGAGTTTATTGCAAAATTTTGGCGGGCCTATTTTATTAGAAGGTTAGTTTTATTCTTTTTCTGGAGTTAATAAATTTCTTGTTCTCTTCTTAGATTTGGACAATGACGCTTTTCGACTAAAGGTGCCTAATTGGGTTGCTTCAAAAATTCACTCCTGTTGGTTGGAGGCTATCGAAAAACACTACGGCTTAATTGAGGTCCAACTCAAAGCACAGCTGAAAAATGATGCTGGTAGAATTAAAGAAAAGAAATTTATTTATTGATTATTAATGAAAATCTCAGCCTTGGCCAGAGCCTTAGCCATGGATGACCAACAACCTAAGGAGACTAAGGATGAAAATCCCCCTAATCCCAGCATGGATGAAATATTGGACGAGGAGAAGGCTCTGCAGTTGGTGAAAAATTTGCAAATGGTTAACTATTCCAAATTTGTACTTGCTGCTTTATAATGAAATTTCGGAAATTTCCTTTTGCAGAAAGACGGCAAAAATGACCTAGCAACTAAAATGTCTTGTCAAAAACTGCTTGAACAATTCCCGAATATGGACCCTGTTGCCATAAAAGACATTTTTGAGGCTCATAATCGTGATTATAATGAGACGGTCAAAGTCGTTAAAGAGGTTTACATGACAAACACCAAGGTCAAGGATGTTTACACGCCAGAAGCTTTGCAGAAACGAGAGGAGGAGTTGGTGGAACAGGCCAAAAGAATGAGTTTACAGGTAATTTTTAAGCAAAAAACACTGAACAGAATTTAATTTACATTTCTCTATAGGAGTTGGAGGCTGCAGAAAAAAAGAAACCTCTGTTTGTCAATGTCATTCCGATCCGCCAGCGGCCAAATGGTGAAACAGACGAGGCTAAATTGATCAACCAAATTGCTGCTTATCGAGATGAGGCAAAGGTGGCGCACTCGAAAAAGATGAAGGCCATGGAAAACATGCAGGATTATTTGACGAAAAAGCTGCCCAGTGTGGCTGCCCATTATAATTATGAGGTACAACGTAAAATTCAGAAGGGCAGAATTTTTCTTATTTTTTTTTCGTTCAGGTGGAAAAATTCGGAAACGAGCTGAACCTGGCCAACTCGAAAGTGTCATCTCTCATTTTAGAGAACTCTAGCCTTGAGTTTCTCGACCTGCACTATCTTTATGTAGCAGAAGCTCTGAATGTAATTATCTTTGATTTGAAGTCAACTTGTTATATAATTATATTAATCATGCTTTTTACAGACCCTTGACATTTTCCTTGATCATCATGTCCAAAGGAGAGAATTGGATCCTACAATTGGCAACGAGATTGTGCAAGTCATAACAGGCCGTGGTAATCGTAGCCCTAACGGAGTGGCTAAAATTAAGCCTGCCATCAAGACCAGACTCAAAAAGCGTGGGATTCAGTAAGACCTTCAAGTGTAATTTACAAAGATCTGAGATTTAATTTTTATTCCTAATTTCAGATTCGAGCAGATCAATGATGGTGCTCTACGAGTGTACATTACACGCAACCTGCAGTACAGTTCAAACTATACGGCTGAAGCCGAGTAGGAATCAAAGCAAACCCTGCCCTCTATAAATGCATAATTTTAGAATTATATATATATATTTTGTGGGATGAATTGAGGCACTACAGTATATTTTTGTACTGGTGTACTTAATGCCTTTTAGTTTATGTAACTGAAAGTTGCCCCCGTATCACTGCAATTTTTTTATTTTGCTTGGAGCAATACAATTTATACTTTGTCAGCACTGGTGGTGCCTACTAATATTAAGACATGTACTTCCCTGTAGCTCCGGAGCACAATATTTTTGTGAAACTTTTTACGTCAGTATTGATGATAAGGATCGCTCTGTAATCTTTTAATATTCATTTTTGCCCACATAATTAGAAACTTTGCATTATGTTTGTGCTTGTAAACCAAATTTTTGAATACCGTTTTTTAATAGTTTTCCTACCGTATTTTATCATTATTCCATCTAAAGACCCTAAAGACATTTACATTTGGAATCATCATAAGTTTTAAAGTTCCTGTTTGTTCATAAAAGAAAATTTTTAAGCCAATAATCGACTATCGATCTGTATTGCTCTAGGCATGCATTTTAGTTTTAAGTTCATAAACGAGAAAATTTTACCATCTTAATGTAAATTTTATAAAAGATATAAGATATTTTAAAATTTTGCATTTTAATTGTTTACTTTCAGAAAAAATCCCTTTTTCATTTCAGTTTAAAGCCAAAGCCATTAAATATAAATAGGCCTTTTTAACAATAATTAATTAAGCATTAGTTACATTAAAATTATCCAACATATTTGTGATGACCAAGATAATCTCTTACGAGTAGCCGCTTTTGTGTCGGCGGTGTGTTCAATTTCGCTAAAACCAGCCGCAGCAGACCTCTCTTTGCATAATATCAAAATAACAACTAGCAACGTTTGTCTGCCCAAATGACATTAGAGCGTGCGGCGTGTGCGCGGCGATTATTAAATGGCATAATAATGACCAGCGGAGCAGAGAGACATGGAGAGGGGTCGCGCGTTCGAGAGGGGGTTGTTGCGCGGCTACGGTCGTGCATGGGGTGGGAGGGCGCATGCCTCTGAAGAGAAGCCAGGCATCGCAGCAAGCATGCCGAATAATGCACTTCAGTCGGTGTTGAAAAACTTTCAGTGTTGGATTCGCAAACGAAAAGCCGCTCGGAAGTCAGACGCAAATTCAATTTCGACAGGATTTCTTCTGGCGAGAATTTCCCTTCGATGGTGAGTTGATTTTTTGACTTTGTTATATTTTATCGCGGAAATTTCAACGCCACGTTTTTGCTTGCGGCACTGTTTTCAGTATTTTCATAATGAGAGTTGGGGAGAATTTAATACAAATTGACGGAATGGAAAGGGGTGCGGAATTTAATTGGGAGCGTTGATCGTCGACATGCAGTGAAACTTCGCAAACTTTCCTCTGACCCTCACAGCTCATTACACACAGACCGTCAGACGTCGGAAAAGTTTCTGCTTGTTTTGCAAAGTCCGGCGGAAACTATTTTGATTTGATTGATGTTGATGGATAAGAAATCCAGACTTTCAGGACTTGGCGAGAAAACGTAGGAGGTCAGCAGACTTGTGAAAATCACCGGAGGGCTTTCTTTTTAATTAAATTTATTACATACAAATAAATGAGTAAATTTATAAATATTGAGACTTCAACTAATTTGTGATTTGCAAAAATATTTCACAAAAATTGCTTTCTTTTTAAGAAAAAAATTGTAATTATTTTTTATCCATCAATTTAATTAATTTTCACATAACTTTTTTTTATCGTCTTCTCCTGCCAGTTTTATTATTTTACGCAAAGTAAATTCACATTGCATTTATTTCACTGAAATGGAAATGCTCAAGTACAAGCACCAAAATGATGATAACAAATTGGTTTGTTATGTTGAAACATGGAGACCCGCAAATGAAATGAGCAAAAGCGAAAAACATGATCAAAGCTGTTTTTTTTTTGCGCCGTGCAGAGCCAGTAGCTGTTTTTGCTTTTGCGGAGCCAATTTTCCATGCGTCTCCTTCCCAAAACAAAATTCTATCCCTCTCTTTTGAAGAACTCCGCAGAAGACCGCTATTATTATTACACTTTGTTTACCAAATTTTAACAGGTAGAAAAACAAAATTCAAGAAAACATAATTCGAAATCGATTCGCTTCAAATGAGTAAAGTTTTGTCCTTTGTTGCATCTTTACGAGGAAAGTCTTCAAAGTGTAATTGATTAAGGCTCAGTCTTGTGCGAACACGAAGTTTAGCTTTCGTCAAACTATGAATTGATCCCGAGACGTGTAACTAATTCGGAATAAATTATCCGCGCCTTATATGAATTACCGTCTGGTTGCCGTGGTTACACTGTTTACGCGGGTGCGTGTCAAGAAACCGTAGCACGCCATTCATGCAATAAACGAAATTCGGCCGTCTATCGTTGTAGGTTTTTTTTCCGGCTACGGGTCCTTTATCATAATAATTCTCTCCTCAAATTATCTGCGACCCCACCCAAACAAAGGAGATTTTATTGCGCTAATTGCGGGAGGGAGAAAAAAAACTCTAATCGAAAAGCGGGCGGTGAAAATTTCAGTCTCGCGTTTTAAACCGCTGATTTTTCCGCCGATGATTTACATTTGCGATGCAAATGTCCAGATAACGAACTGTTTGAGCACGCTTTTGTTCGTCTGAACGTGTTTATCAACTGCTGGATTCCTTCGCAGTGCAGGTGCTCGATTTTCCACCTCTGTGATTAACATTTAAAAGGGTAGTTTTCCACGCGAGCTAATTATAATACAAACAAAAATATTATGCTAATCTTGTTATATTTTGACGTAAATCCGCGTTGATTAAAATCAAAGCTGTTTGATTTATCTACACTGTGATTCACCACCTGTCACTGAATATAATAATACAAAAATATTTTTCATATGAATTAAAATAAATTTATTTATTTTCTAGATAATCTTCTCAGTTATTTTGATTTTTGCAGCTTTTTTACAAATTTATTGTTTCTGAAATTTAAAATTTTTTAACACACCATATTTACGTCATTATTATTACTTTCAACACAAAACACATGACATATATTTTAAGTATCATTTTCATTCGATTTTAATCTAGTTTCATTATATGATGGTATAGGGGATAGTTGTAAAATCTATTACATTACGTAATAGGAAATGAAGCTGTGAATTATTTAAAATCTAAAAACTTCATTTTTGACTACCTGCATATTTGATATTTCATGATATTTTTATAGAGGCTTTTTACTTGAGAAACAATCCAGGTATAAAGGAAAAGCTCATGAGCCAATTTTTTCTTACAGTTGATAACAAAAAAGCATTTAAATGCCAAAGTTTTGTTTGAAGTCAGTTATGTGATTTAAAACTAGATGAACGATAAAATATCAGTTGTCATTTTTTGATAAATGTTTGATTATTTTTTCAAATTAAATCGAAACTAAAGGTGTGTTTTACCTTAGTCAAATTTGATGTGAAACGGGTTTGTATGAAGAGCTTTATATGAATTTTTATATTTTAATTGAATTTTAATATTTTGATCATTGTTTTTTTATTGCTAATTAATTTTCTCCGTTAATAAAATAAAAATTAATTCAATTTCTCTTTTCAAAATCTTTTTCTTCAACATTTTGCGAAAATTTCCTTTCAACGAGTATAAAGAGATTCTCCTCACGCTAATGTACGCAAAATATTGACCTACATTTGACTTCGTAAAACATCTCCCGGAAGAGCCCTGTAGATCAAACGTCACAATTTACTTGCATACATGTATTTTTCTCTCGCGAAACGCACAGATTTTGGCAGAGCGCATTTGGTCGACCCTAAAAAAGGGCACTAGGGGACAGACCCATTTCGTTTTTCCGCAAACTCGTGCCGAAATTGAATTTTCCCTCTGCGAGATAAGATTACAAAGTTGGAGAGACCGTGTCGTTGGTGGTGCTTTCGCATTACATTAAAGTCAGCGAGCCGTGCTGTTATCAGCCAGGCAAATAAACTTTTTCGCACGCACACGGCGTAATGAGCTTTTCATATTCCGCGTGCGAATTTTCCGAATCAGCAAATCGCGAAATCTGCAGCTCGGAAAATTAATTTCAAATTACTCGCGAAGGGCTCAAAATAAATGTCAGCTGCTGGCGGTCCGATAAAGAGCGACTGAATAAAGTGCCGCGCCAATTCATTATGCATTTGGCCTAATGCGATCGTGGCTACGGTAATGGAACCGCCTCTCGCACCACTCTAGCCGACAACGATCCATTAATTATTACTTGAATGATGGCAAAGTTTGCTCCGAGAGAGAAAGATTTATTTTTGCCGTACGGTTCCAACTTCTGATCTTTGATAATTCATCTTTAATCACTTTTGATTCTCGCTAAAAGTTGACTCGCTGGTAGCAAAGGAAAGTTGGTAAAAGTTGCCTTCCACCTTAACATGTTTAACATGTTTAAATTTTTTGAATTTTTTTGCATAGTATAAAAAAATAAAAAAATGTTACTTAATGTAAAAAGTTTAAAATTTGGTTTAGTTAGGCTATTGAAAAATTTGCCAATTTTGACTGTTTTTAACTAAAATAAAAAATTTCGAGTTTTCAGTAACATTTGGAAAGTTTATTCTGTTTTATAGACTAAAATTTTTTACCAGTGTCAAATTGTTCGTTTAATTAATTATTTAAAAAATAATTCCATTTATATTGAATAGAATTTTTATAAATTTCATTAAAAAAAAAATCAAAATTTTGAATAATTAAGGATCATTTTTCGAAAATGCGAAAATAAAAATTTCCCTCAGTTGTACGGATACGCTGTCATTTTCCATTTTCCACGCTGCCGCATAAATAATGAGCGCGATGCTCATGCATACGAAAGTGGTTGCATACTTCAAAGAGCGTGATGATGTACAGAGAGTCTGCCGGAAATCAGCATAGCTAACAAAACGCATAGAGAGGAGCAACAAAACAATAGACGCGATGCTCGGCTCGTTCATGCAGATCGCTTTTCAAACTCAAACACCGGGCGAGCCATCCATTATTTGCAAGCGTTTTGTTTTTGTCCGCACCGATGCATAATGAGGTGTACACGCAGTGAGTGCGTATTGTGCTGCACAACCGTTCCAAGAGCTCTTGCATTGTCGACGACGAGAGAGCGCCGTTTATTATATCATAATAGGTCGGCGGCGGACTCGGCGGATTCGCGAAAATACACAGAGCAGGGGAAACCAACAATGGGGATTATCTCTTGCCAAATCTATAAAGCGTGAATACAATTTTGAATGAAAGTTTAAATGCATATTTGGGTGTCCACTCCTTTGTCAGAGAGGATTTTGATACGCGATTATAACAGGGAGCTGTTTGTATTTCACAAACAAAGTGCTCTTTCAAAGATACAAAGGAACGCAATTTCCTGACAAGCGAAAAATTAATTTATGAAAACTGGGACTGGGAGTCTGGTTAAAATTGAATTCCTTTGAACTTATTGTTAGTAAGCATCAGGAAAATAATAATCTTAATAAAGACGGAGACTCGTCCAATCTTTTGAGCTTCTCTTTTGCATCAAAATAAATATGAAGTAACTATAAATGTTACAATTTCTGTTATATTTATGTTGATTTATGTATTAAAAAAGGAAAACATTTAATTATTTTGTTCAAATTCAAATTTTTTAAATTTAGAATTTTACTTTAAAATGGACAAATAACACCAATATGAAATAAAATTTTTAATTAGGAAAATTAAGTTGTTCGTTTTTTTAAATTTAGATACATTTCATTATTCATTTGACATTCCTCAAGAATACGATCTTTTGTGCATAATTTCATAATTTTAAATGTTTTTTTTTATTCACACATTATCTAGTGTTTAAAAAATCTAATGTACCAAAAAAATCTATTAAATTTATGTTTACTTCATACCAAATTAAATTGATCCTCATTTTTTTTAGTTCGTCCGTGTTGGTTTACCCTTCCAATTTCGTAATCACTCCCAAACAATAGTAATAGAGTGCGCTCTGCTAGAGACGGAGCGAGCCTACTACTAAATGCATGCATATCTCGTTCCAAAGTTCTCTTCTCTTTATACAAAGCACTTCTACAATTGAAGCGCGACGACCGACTGTCGTTGCCCCCTAAGAACCCCCGAGCATCCCCTTTTCTAGCAGAGATGAGCAGTGATTCATTCCTCTGATATCTCATTCCGTCTTATTTCGTCTCCGTGCGCGCCAA